CGTATGCTTGAAGCAGTACGCTCAGGACAAGTCGCCATAACGGTCTCATATAGTTCACAAAATAATGAGGTAAAAGAGGACTTGTGCTTTTGGCATATTACTTGACAGGTTATAAGAAATAAACAAAGTAATAAAAGAAAACACAAAGCTCCTACGCTGTACACAAGACTGATGAAGCTTTTAAGTTCCCGTGTTGAGGTCGTCTCAGGATAGAAATGAGTGGGATGTGATACGTCCTCTTGAAACATATCTTTGGTTACTGCGCTCTGGTTCAGCCATAATGAAAAACAATAACATGTAACTCGACGGCCGAGCTAGCACATGTGTGTCTCTGCTCTGAGATATGTGGTTAGGGGCTATGGATGCGATGGGATTCTACTCTTACGGTTTAGATTTTTTAATAAGCCCTTTCTGCCCGCTTTTCGCCCTAAAGCCCGGCTTGACTTTATCTGTGGATTGCTAGGAGTAAAACTAAGACCTTCACTGCACACGAACGACTCATACGAAAGAGCCTGAAATGAAAGTTACCGGATTGCAGTTTACTGAAATGGAAGCAAATGAGATGCGATTTACTGAAATGGAGTGCACTGAAATGCACATTTCTGAATTACAAATTACTGCTGGTCTCTCGGCTGTAATAGGAAGCCTGCCTTTAATCTTTCCCACCTCAACACACTGCTTATTGCGTTTTGCTACTACTGAATGTACTTTTTTTTTTCTAATTTAATGTTATATTCTCTTACAGATGACAGGTCTCTCAGCATGTGGAGACATCGCCAATCACCTCCAGCTTTGCATGTCTCAGGCTCTTCTCTCTGTGCCTCTCTGTTAATTGATACAGAGAGGCCAAGCTTATCTGTATCCAGTTATATGATTTGATTCGGCACGTAATAGGGGAGGGGGCACTCTGAGGGCCAATCAGCTTTCAGCTGGGGCCAGTGCCCCTGTCACCCTGCCCCTGTATACACCCTCCGTGGTCCCGCCTTTGGCCCAAAAATAATCCAGCTGATTTTGTTACTGTTGAGTGCTCTGTGATCGACTGGCACAACCTATGATGAGCTAGATTGCTTGGTAGTTGATTGGTGTGCCCTGTGCTTCCCTGGGATAGGCGTAAAGCACAAAAAAAACAGACAAAACACCACCATTCATTTGACATGAGTCATCAACAGGATGGAATGATTAATTCTGTTCTCATTTCAATGATCAGTGTCACAGCAATGAGGAGTAGATGTGTTACAGGTGAGTAAAGTTGTGAAACCTTTGGTCACTGTACAATCAGAACTGTAGAGCATGTTTCTATCCATGTCATACTGATGGTCAATAAGTATAACTCAGTACATATCCTATCCATGTCATACTGATGGGTAATAAGTATAACTCAGTACATATCCTATCCATGTCACATTGACAATCTGTAAGCAGTCATGAATACTATCCATGTTAAACTGACAGCTTATTCATATAATCTAGTGTGTGGATCCCATCTGTTTAACATTGACAGCCTCTGAATGTAACTCATTGTGTGTCCTGTCCGTGTCACTTTGACAGCCTGTGAGCGAGACTCTAAAAATAAACGTAAGGCTTTTAAAATTCAAATTCACATTTGTCACATACCAATCATGCACAGTACGACTTGCAGTGAAACGTTATTTTTCGACACTTCATGAAATGAAGCACAGCAGTGGCATACAAATCAAGCAGGGGTTATACCAGGCTACCTAATAAAAATCCATATAGAAATCTAACATTTGAGGGGTCCTTTCATCGGAAAGCAGGGGCAATGGAATACGGCTCTATCAGTAAAAGACCGTGGCATGGCATTTTTTCACCTGCAGTGCTTGTGAATAAGGACAAATAACTCATTTTATTTCCCTTCAACGCAAATTGTTTACAACTGACAACTCACAAGCCTGAACTGAGGCTTCTGCCTCCAGATCATATTGCAGTACAGCACACTACTGTCCTCTAGTGGCAAAAGTTGGAAGAGCATCATAGGGTTTTCACAACCCCTCGTTGTGATACTTGGACTGCAGAAAGCAGTCCAAGTATAATGTAAAAAAAATGGATTTGCAGTACTATGCAAAGGTCCTAGGCAGCCAAAGAAAATGATGTTGAAATGACCTTTATGTTGGTGTAAAACTACGCTATTATGCCTGTGTAAGTGTGCTGGCTCTCCCATTTCAAAACCTCTGCTAAAATCATCCCAGTATTTCCAGTAGCCATGCAGTATACCCATGTATTTTTAGCACACCTCGTATAGCTAATCAATATTTCACAGACTTAAAAAAAAAAAAAAAAGTCAATTAATTAAGTGAGCTGGTGGTGAAATTTGCTAAATACATGGAACTGCTGAGGTGCCCCTGAGGAGAAGGTTTAGGAACTGGAGCTGTGCTCATCTAGCCATCCAACTACACATCAGTGACTTTTAGAAGAATAGAAATATTTGCTAGATTTTATTGTTGCCCTTAATTTGCATATGTTCTAATGTTAAATTGTGCCTTTTCTTCTGAGCAAATGCCTACTTACTACCCAGATAAATAGCTTTAAACATTTCCTTAGACTGCCTAAGACATTTGCAAAGTACTGTATATCCCCCCAATCTACTAATGCACTGTGTGCCCCCACACTACATATTTGTAAAAACAAAATAAAATTCTGAAAACTTGTTACACCTGTGCCCTGAGACTTTTGCATAGTGCTATATATCTATTTTTTGTTGATATCCCCTCTGACTACACAAGTGAATATTGAAAATCCGTGTGCTTTCATTTCAGCTCCAGGCAGAATTCGGAGTGAAAGCCATAATTAGCATCACTATTTACTGAGGCTTTGCACCCACACAAACCAGCATGTCTAGGCCACAGTGCTGTGGTGTGACACTGAAGCAAATACAGCTTAAAACACCACTAACAGAGTCGTCAGGAAAAACGACTCCCTGTGAATTTGAACATATAATGCCCCTGTTAAAAAAAGCTTTTGACTTGCACAACGATGCCCAGATACTAGCCATCATGCTAATAAAGAGAGAAGAATCTCCTACGTTTTCACATGGACCCTAAGAATGTTTCCTCTTAGATAGTCTACAGATGCCCAGCCAGGGACCATCCACAAAGAGGCCTTTGATTTGAAGGGTTAGCATGAGGCAATGGGTCAAAAGGTGACAAGAATGGTAATTTTTTTTTACCATGACCCCTTAAGGTGTCCCAGCATGTGCAAAAAGCTCACAAGGGATCTTTGAGAGCAGTGCGTTTGTTTTTATGATTGGGTTTCTTTCTCACGCCTTGGTGAGTAGGCAGAATGGCAGCGTGACCCCCTTTGACTTCCCTGAAGAATTTACTGCCCTGAAAGCCCCAGAACACACTTCCAGTGACTAGCATTGTTGGCGTTGAGTGTTTTTCAGTTCCTTTGATTGTAAGGTTTGGGTTTTAACACAGACTGTCAGTCCCCATGCTGCCCCCTTCTGCTCATCTACTGAAATAACACTCTTCTGCTTACATCTGCTTACTGTTTACAGCTGTTTACACCTGCTGCACCGCCCCTTTAAGCATGGACAGCTGCACCACCCCTTTAAGCATGGACAGTTGCACCACCCCTTTAAGCATGGACTCCATGCACTAATTTCCCACTGTCATGTACGGTTGTAATTGTTTGTCTAATTAGGTGCATTTGTTACGTCATGGTAGGTAGTAAATAAAGCTAATAATCATCCCTCTGTCTCCCTCCCTTTAAATTATTGATAATTATACAAGAATCTTCCTTTGAACTACGGAAACTGTCCTTAGCTCTGTAAGGTCTGTCTTGTCTTAAATGTCGCACCATGGGTCCGGCAGGGACGTCATTTTGTTTCCCTGTTTACCGTACATGGCTGTGATGACAATAAATCTTTACCTGACTTGACTTACCCAGGAATAAGACAAATTATTCACATTCTTTCCCTAAAACTAGCCATTTACCTGGTATTCAGAATTTTAGAGTGACTTCGAACCTCTGACAGTATAGCACATATCACAAGGAATCTATAGTGATGTAATGGTCTGATAGTTGGATGACGACTGGGGACGTGTCATAAGTCACTTTGCTGGCTAACTGCTGCAATACATCTCTCTAGCTTCTCTGCTTACAAGGATTAGGGCTGAATAAGTTCACCCCCCCGCCCCCCCCCCCCAGCACTGCCACCTATTCACAGGACAAGAAAGAATCTCACACTTCCTAGCTGCTGATCACCAGGTTGCCGCCGACGAGCCTTAAGGCTGAAATTTCGCCCATGTCAGATTGTTGACCCCTGCTGTTTTTCACAATGGATAAACCAGGTCATTACAGGCACAAAGACTGGGCTCTGTTTTCATGTGCTGGTCGTGGGTAAGCAGAGGTTTGGTGGGATGCGGGATGGTCTGCTTCTAATCTCTTCAGTATCCCACCTCCTCAATAAAACCATGTAGCTGGGGCCTGTTCCTATAAATTGGTTCTTTATAAGAGACCTAACTGCATGTGAACTTTCTGGGAAAATAAAAATCCTCTGGAGTCTATTTCTTAGCAGGTAAGAGCACCATGAATACCGCACTTCATGACGCACCGCGAGAAAATAACCAGCTACAGCCCAAGACTGGTGGGCTGGAGGATTTGGAATATGCCTGAGCCCACAGAAACAAGCAGGGCATTGACGTTAAAACGAAACACAACAAACGCTTTTAAAAGTGAGTAACGTAATACAGGGTCTTGCTTTAAGCTACGCCTATTTAGCAATAGCTAAAAAAATAAAAGTAGCTACAGAATTAACAGGGTCAGAGACAGATGTAGAAAGCCAGCTGAGGAGTTAAAGGCTTTAACTTGTTGTTTTGAACTTCAAATTTAGAGAAAAGCAGGACTGAGTCTTATAAGATCATCATGCCAATCTGCAGATCATAGTCATTATGATAGATGTGCTGTTTGTTATGGCAAAGATGCATTTGGGAATGAATCTATCCCAAAAATGAGCGTGAGCATGGCGAGGCAGAACCTACCTGGAATCTGACCTTCTTCAGTGTCATCATGGTCCACGGGTCAACAATCCGTCTCAGGGTATCTACCAAGTTCCTGGTCCCAGACGCATGCCCACAAGTGAAGACAGCGTCTCTGTCCAGAAGATCACAAGCCACCAGCTCTCCACACCTGGACCGCCTAGTTGATCATGCCAGCTTCTACCCCAGCTAGCGCACTCTGGGAGCCGCGGTTCGCTTCGGGCCGGCGACACTCTGGAAACGGACCACGGGAGTGAGGAGGTCGCTGCTCCTGCCAGCCTGGCCTATTGTTCCTGTTCTGCTCCCGGTTCCCTCCTGCTTTCATAGACGATACCTCACAAAGCCCGGCTCAGGACTGAACAAGCTGCCCATTCATTAGGAAAACAGAAAACGACGCCCACCCCCCCTCTGCCCCTCCCTCACCCCAAATAAGGACTTTGCCCACAGGCTGATGGTAAATTCTTCTAAATCCTATACTTCTTTCTCTGGGGTTAAAGACTAATCCAAATTATTGTACTTTGCCATTTTTCAAATTCCTCCATTGTCATTCTCTCCCTCCATTACAATCAATAGGGCAGACGGCAGAATGTCTCTTAGTCATTTGCATATAGGTGTTCCCCACAAAGCCCTCCCTCGCGTAAAGATCAGGTCAGAGCAGATAAAATCCCCCCACCTCAATTTTCTAGTGGTCAACATGAAAATCTCCCAAACTCACTCAGTCTATTTTCTGTTGTTTGAGATGAACCCTGAAGTCAGGCTTCCTCATATGTTACAGAACTGGCAACCAAAACTTGCTCAGTCCTGCTGTAATCCAATGTAGAACTTTCATTACATTTCCAAAACTCCCATAAGTCCACAGAATATTTAAAAAAAAAAAAAACAGATCCCGTGGATGGAGTGAATTTTGTAAGTTTGTCAATTGTTTCTAATGAAAAAGTTTTAACGCCATTGTCTTGTCTTTACTATCTACTGTCTGTATGAGAGCCAGTGGCAACCAGAAAGAAACTCCCTGTGTGTGTGAACATTTTTGTAGAATACAGTAGATTCTCATTCATTTTACTAGTTGAATTGGAGGTTAGGGGCATCAACTGGTTGACTCTCTGTAGCCAAAAAAGCCCTCCCTTGTTTTGAGAGACTGGGAAGAGCCAGCACAACAAAAAATATATACGAGTGTAGCATGACCCCTAATCAGCTTCCACTTTTAATTTTTACTGGCTGCATCAGCAGTTTTAAATATCTTAGAACATAAGGACCAAGCATGAGGACGTGGTGACCAATTCTCACAGTGGCTTCACACCTTCAGGGCTGTAGGTTTGTTTGATGTGTGAATGAATGAATGAATGAATGAATGTAGCACTTTTCAAGACACCCAAAGTGCTTCACAGAAGCAGTGGATGGCTGCTGCAACCGCCAACAGTGTAGGCCTTGCTCCGACACTGTCTGTGGTTCGGGTCAGGCTACGGTTCAAAAAATGGCAGAAAATCCCCCCGATCGTCTATCCTATGGTGGAGTTCCATCTTGTCTAGGGTATGCCCTGTCCTGATAGGCTCCAGGTTCATAGCAACCCTGAGGAAGACGGAAAACAAATCTAAATACAGTCAGTTGTGGGGTTAAGAAAGACTTATGGACTTACGAACAGACCCCAATAAAGCCTATTATATAAAAAATTAGTTAAATACAATGTTTCATAATAACAAATAGACACAGTACTGTGTGGCGCTCATGGAAACATTATGCAGCCTCAGCGGTCCATCAGATCAAGGTACAGTACAGTACAGTATGTAGTTACTTTGTTATTACTGTATTATAATTGTTACGATTTATCTATGAATTTGACCTAAAGACAGATTTAGGGAACAGATCTTGTTCATAACCTGAGGACTCCCGCTATCTAGACAGCAGCATCCTTATGTATGTGTTATACAGAACTTGCGCTAGCTTGGCTGAGTCTAGCAATAGCTTATATCTGCAATTTTACTCACATCAACATTTTTTTTCGACATGAAGACGTGTTCCCTCACCAACTAAAGATATCGCTCTCAAGCTGGGTTATCTGCTTCATTTAGAGACCTTGCAGACAGACATGTAGGCAGTCATGTCACAGTAATCAAATTTAATGATGCTATTTTGTTACCAGTACAATTTAGAGAAAGCGCCAATCTTTTCCTGTGCTGGTGCAAAAATACCTTTGGGTTTAATAGAAGATCCATCTGGTTCAGAACACAAGTGTGTTCAATAGACAGTGTTTGGCATTTCAGGTCCACTAGCTACAAATCCAGGATTTTGTTTCTACCAACCAATTAGAGTCACAGTCACAGAACGCAAATGGTTGGTAGAAACAAAATCTTGGTCTGGATTTGTAGCTTCCGGATCTGAAATGCCCAACAGTGTTTATAGATCACTGTTTTTCAATCTTGAGGATCTCCAGTCAACATTTTAGCTCCCGACACATCTGTACCAGGTATTTGGTCAGCTTGATTGGCTGGGAGATGGGAGGGAACAAATATATGGACTGTCACAGGGTCCTCGGGGACTGGGTTTGGAGACACTAGTACAGGGCTTCCTAAGATTCAAAGGTATTAACTCAACAAAGGATCGACTCCGCTGAGAGGCTTGGGCGTTTGGGCCATTTCTAACAATAAAAATGTACATGAGCTTCGTCAGGAGCCTGCAGGAGATGTCCGGACTTCAGCCAAGGCCCACAGCCAGGGCGATACATGAGAAGCACCAAGGTGAGACAGGTTTCCACAAGACCAGAACAAACCACACAGATACAGCTTAACTATCAGGTTTTATTACAGCGGGCTATTATTATCATTTTTACTTTGGAATGTTATTTATAATTTCCCATTATCTCTCATACGGTTACAAAAATTTCAAAATAACCTTCGGCCTCCTCCGACGCTCCCTACCTACAGTCTTCACCCAGAAGAATTCTCAAAACAAACAAAACAACATTCATTTGGTTCCTCAAACTAGGCTGATAACCAGGACTAACAAAGACAGTTCTGAACACAGATCAAGTGAGGGCTGTTTGCTTACGTTAACTGGCATGTAATGGTGGTGGTGGTGGTGGTGGTGGGGGTGTGATGCTTTGCCACTCTAGGACTAGAAGTCAAATTTTACAATTACATCTTTTCACATTGATTGCTCTGTATGAATAATTCCTGTGTAGTTATGCATGTTGAAATGATTTCCGAGAACTTCAAGACCATACAATCATGTATAAAACGGGCTAGCCAAATAAACAGCAGTCATTTTCTCTGCGACTTCTTGGGAATTAAGAGCACATTCGTGACAAACGTTCAAGCCATTTCAAAAGCAAGTACGGTAACCAAGGAAACCGAAGTGTGTCAGCTAAGGCTGGGAGACGTCTTTAGATTTTAAAGTGTACATGGCAGGACGTTTCCGTCACACAAACTGTACTGTTGGTAGAAATTCCCACTGGCGGTGGTGTATTCTTAGAGCGAATTTGCAACCAGACTTGCAACAGCACCACGCCCGTCAGGCAGAAGTCATGTGCGATTCAAGCAAATCAGTGATGAAATCTGACTGACAGGCACAACAGCCAATCAGAGGCCACGGGGGCCTGGGGTTCAACTCTATGACACTCATTTATGGGAGGGGAAAAAAAACCCACATATCTCAAATGCCTGACCAAGGCAATTGCTTTTCGGTCTTTTAACTTAAACATGGTATCACATAACATTAGTTTGGGGGGGGGGGGGGGGTTAGGACTGACAACATGGCGGAGACACCAACACGGGGAAACCTGATGGGTCATGGTGTAACCAACACCTCCAAGCGGAGAGAAAAACACACTGCTCCCCAACAATAAAAGTAACTAAGAAAAATGGCTTCTGCAATTATACACCAGCACAGAAATGTATCATGGACATGCCACATTTAACAATTTAATTCAAGAAGAGCAGTGTATAACTTTAATTTATATATAAAAGAGCATCTGTCAAACCCCCCTCTACTCTGGGGATGACAGATTTGGGCACAATGGGAGGGGTCTCCGTCTCTTTGAACATGTGAGTGTCTGACAGATAGAGGGATGTGCCGTATGCAGAGGTGGTATTTATAGTAGTGTTTGAGAAATCAGAGCCCATCACACAGCCCAAGCACACGGTCCGCTGCGTTTCCATAGCTCATGGCAGGAGGTGAGCCTATGCCATACCACATGACCCAGAAGCTCCCACATGATGCTGCCACATGACCCCGAAGCTCCCACATGACCCCGAAGCTCCCACATGACCCCGAAGCTCCCACATGACCCCGAAGCTCCTGTTACCACGCAGCATCCGGTGTTACTTTCACAGTTCGGGTAACATTTTGATCACTAATGCAGATGTGTTGCCCCCACATGCCACCGTCACCTTAATCTATCCTACTTGCCCACCCACCACCCCACCACAATCCCCTCTTTGCTGATACAGCACATTTTTCTTCTTCCTGAGGTTTTTTTTATTATTTTTTAATCCCCCCCCAACATTGTATAAAGGTACAAACACAGCCAACACGGCAAACCATGGAGAAGGCAGCTTGTGAAATGCTGCTCCCCATGGGCAGACTGCGTCAGAACAGGCCAATATCACTTTCTGCTTGCCGGTTCCGTTCCGCCCAGTTCCAGATCCACCCCCCTCCCCGACCCCCACGGTGTCTCTTTTACAGTATCTCATACTTGTCGACCACCAGCGACGTCTCTATGGAGAACCTCACAGGGCTGTCTCCGTCGACTTGAGACACTTTGGAAACCTGTCAGAGACAAACGTGTTGGAGATGAAGACTAAGCCAACGATTTCTGGTGATGGACAGAACCGACGGTCTACACTGCGGTTCACTGGGTCAGACGGACTCACCTGGATGTCGCAGTAATTGGCCTTGGAGACGAAGGAAACATTGATTGGGAAGAAGTCACCAGGTTGGCTGACCACACTGAACTCCAGGCTGCCCGTCTTGTTCTTGATGTCGATGACAGGTAGACACCACTCTAGAATGTTCCGGCGACTATCGTGGCGATACTCTCCATCCAGGTCCCCAATGACGGGAGCTCCTACACCCGCACTGCAGGGCGTGGGGGGGGGATGAACCTCATTTACACCTCAAACGACAAACCAACCACATCTGCAGTTTGATGAAGTCAACAATCTTAATACTCACGGCACGGGGATGGCAATGACGACGTCGTTGAGCTCCAGACCCTCCTCCTGCAGTTCGTATTCGATGTTCACGTCACAGCCAGTGCCACTCTCAGAGGGCCAACAGTTTACTAGAGGAGACAGAGATTATCTGTAACATCTACGCTTCAGGAGTGCTGGTAACAAACCACAGGTGTGTGCGGAGCCCCAGTGAATCGGAGCATTTTATATATTTAGCATATGGGTCATGCAGTCCCCTGGGGGTTAAGGGCCTTGATCAAGATCCCAACAGTGACATCACCCTAGCTACCCCGGGATTTGAACCGGCAACCTTTTGATTACAGGCACAGCATCCTAATCCACTGAGCCACACACTGCCCGTGAGGACTGTCCGCAGACACACCAACAGTGTCCACACGGAGAACCTACCAATGACATGTCTATCCTTTCTGTGCGGAGTTCACAAGCTCTCCCCGTGTTCACGTGGGTTTTCACCGGAGGCTCCAGCGACCACGATCCAAAAGCGTGCAGGATAGGTTGATTGGTGAGTCTAAATTGGCCCTGTAGTGGTATGTGAGTGTGTGCGCCCTGTGGTGTGCTGGCACCTGCCCAGAGTTGGTTCCCGCCTGCGCCCATTGTTCCCGGGATAGGCTCCAGTAACCCTAGTTGGGATTAAGTGGTTTCAGAAGATGGATGGATGGATGGATGGATGGGAGCTCAAAGCACTATGGTTGGGGTTTTGGTTCCAATAATTGGAAATCCAAGCACCTAGCAGAGATTTTGCAGGGGGTACAGTGTATAATCAGCTCATCTCCTTGGCCAAGTCGGCATAGGTGCAGGCACGCGTGAACACGTTTGGGTCAGGTGCCTTTGCCCAACACCCAGTTATTACAAGGCATTAGACCCCAAGAGCTTGCAGACTTTCCAGAGCTTGCAGATGAGCAGCAAGTCCACTGGACTGCGGTGAGGAATGTGATTGAACAAAACGCACCAACCCAAAAAAGGACAAACGCGGTGCAGAAATCCCTCTCGGATCACTGGCAAGGGGGGGTTGGGAGGGGGACTCACTCGTGAGAGGAATGAGGGATTCATCCGTGGTCTGCAACCTCCACTTCAGCACCCCAACATCACTGTGGAGGGGGAAGGACTTGTCTGGGTTCTTTAGCCCGATCACTGACTCCGCTGTGAAGAGCTTCTTGTCCACATTGGGGTGGGTCTGCATTGGGAGGACAGCTGGGATCAATCTACTCTGGGGGCAGAATCTTATAGCAGGAAGTCACATGACAAACGCCCCATGTACCTTCCCAGCATAGGCTGAAGCCATCGCCGGCCCTCGTTAAAACCCACCTGCAACTGCATGCCCTTCTTGTCGTTGTTGTTGACTTGGAGGCGGATGCGGCCGTTCTTCTCATCCGACACCCTCAGGGTGATCATGCCCAGGATCTCCATGTTCTGGACGCCCCCATCCCGCCCACAGGTCAGGGAGATCTTCTCCTCGACCCGCATGTGCACGCTGATGCCCCAAACCCAACACACGGCAGAATCAGTTTCACCCCATCGCCCCCAACACAGATCCCCACCTTGGCCTCACCCAAATTGGCAGAGCCAACTCTCCACAGATGAGAACACCTAACCATAGTTAGCTCGTGTATTTTTCCCCACCAACAGTCTATTACTATTAATTCCGTTACACGGATCACACACGGCTATACAGAAAACTGGCCTCAACCAGAATAGAGGCCTATAAACAGCCATAAGAAACTGAGGACATAAGGACAAGACTGATGCATCTGACCACTTTAAGCTTCAGTGAAAATTCAGATGGCTCCAGATCGAAAGCAAAAAATAAAAGTATTCTCCTATACTTGTCCGATGATGCCATCGGTGCAGTTTTGCAGTCGACAGGACAGGAAGCGTGAGGTGGCGCATCCCAAGAGACGCAGGGCCAAGAAGAGAGCAAACAAGAAGCAGCTCCTTGTCACACTTGACAAATCTTCACTTACCTCTCTGTGTTGACTGGGGCAGCCAAGACTTTGGAAGCTTCCGAGAGCTTCTTCCCTGTGCCGGGCATGATGATGTTTTCCCCTTCAGACTTAAGCTTGTCCACAAAGTCATCCACCTCCTTCCCCCTGGCACCCAACTTTAGGGCCTTACTGGGACCAGTTGATCTGTGTGAAACAGGGCTTCCATGAAACTACAGCCCATTTCAGACCCGCTCTTACAAAATCAAAAACTTTATTGAAAACTTTCAGACACAGGCCATCGACACTACACTTCTACCAAAACAAAGCCATCACGTACCTCATGGGTGCCGGTGTCACCTTCGGTTTCTCCGGCTCGATGAGGGTATCTGTGATGATAGAGCCGGCATTGGCACCTGTCATCCCCGAGCTACCGAATCCCCCAAAGCCTGGCGCCTTCTTTCCAGAACGTTCCGCATCGCGGCGGGCCTGCTGCAGCTCCTTCGCCTTCCGTCGCATCTCCGCCTTTGCCTCACGTTCCTGAGTCTGTCAGATAAAAGCAGGAGACTGCTGTTTCAAAACAAGGTCAAGGTCCTCCGATTTAAGCAACAGGTCATAGGTCTAGGGTTGAATATGCCAATAGGCTAGAAATGAAAGCTAAGTACTACACATTAGATGGGACATGAATGTCCAACCAATCGTCATGTTCAAGGGTACGGTGACCCACCTCCCGGACTGCACGGAACACCTTCTCCTCATGAGAGTCCATCTCAGTGAAGGTGCGGATCTGAGCCAGGTTGACGTTCTCCCGGTATCCTAGTGCCACAATCTCATCAAAGGCGAAGATGAGGTCGAAACAGTGCTCCGAGATCTCACTCTCCTCCAGCACCCTGCAGTACTCCGGTATCTGCAGAAGACAGGGCAGAGACCGGACAGGAGATGATTGTCAACTTCCGTTCAGAATGGATCAACATGCATGCACCCCTCTAAATCAACAAAGATGCAGTGGAGAGAGCCAGCTGCTTCAGGTTCCGAGTCGTCAACATTTCTGTGGACCAGTCCCGGTCAATACACCCCTCTGCAGTAACCAAAACAGCAAGTAACCAAGACATCGGTTCCTGTTGCGGAATTTCTATCATGGGAAGTATCCTGACTGGCGGCATCACTGCGTGCTATGGGAGTTGTACTACTCAAACCCTTGGCACGGAGTTGTGAGAGACAGTATAGACTATTGCTAGTAATGATCTACCTAATATCCAACATATATATAGTAGTTGCCTTACGAAAGTCAGGTCTTTCCACAAGGGCACTAATCCTCCCATTTCCAACCATGCCATCACTCCTGCCGTCAGGGAAGAGTTACTGGAACATCGGCTCAGAGATAAACAGACTCTGTAACAGTCTCTACACACAGCTAGTACAGCTACTCAACAGCTGATCAGGCTGCTAGTACGGACACTTAGTACATTTCTTTTTTCCCTTGTCATATTCCATCATATTATTTTTTATCCTTTACATTATTTTTCCTTAACCCTTACTCATAACCTTACTATAGGGAGCTCTCGGGAAAATGCGTCACCTACATCTACTGCTGTATACTGTACTGGCGTGCTTTTGATTAATGATCTTTGATTTGTTATGACTTTGCAGATTTCAGGGAGGAAGGCTGGAGATAAGGTTGCATCTCCTCCCCATGTTTTTGTCATAACCGAAAAGTTAGGATGCCAACAGGGCTTCCTATAGGGACTCTGCATTGTTTTAGATGGTGCAAGTAAACCAGTTGAGGTGGGGTCTTTAAATTACGCTTAGCTTTTTAATCATCTCTTGTGAGGGCCCATCCAGGCCCATCCAGCTCGCTCGACTACACAGTACGCCATACTTGCTGGGATAAGCATCATGCTCACCAAGGCCCTGAATTGGATAAGCAACGATGGAAGACAGATGGGAGAGAGCAGGGATGTTAAATTACCCGGTGGACCCAGCCCCCCAGGAGCCGTCAGGTTATATATGGACCAGCAGACAGGCCTGCAGTTAATGCCTGTAACCTAAAATCTCAAACCATCCATTGTAGTACTGACCAACATACTTAAGCAGACTTACTGCAAACTACTTACATCATTGCATAAATGGGTCAGTTTTAAACTCAGTTTGGACAAGAGTCTAATAAAATCCAGCATCTGCAAAACCAGGCAGAAGAGCCCTTTTTAAATCCTGGATCCATGAACATTCATATTCTCTGGTAGAAATCTGTAGGAACCACAGCTGTAGCAGAACCCCCAGATGACCCCGAAACGACACCCCTACCACACGGGAGAAGAGCCGGAGGGTCTCCAGATCCTCAAGGATGTTGCTGTTCTTGGTGGTGATGAGCACCATATAGAGCTTCTCCAGGGGCTGGTAGACGTATCGCACGCTCTCTGTCTCCACGAAGGTGTGCTGCTTGCCCGTGTTCATGAGCTTGGGGAAGGCGGCCAGGAGGCCCTCGATGCGTGTGCGCGTCATCTCCACGAACTGCCGCGACACGATGGCCTTGCCCGCCTTGGTGCACACTGCTGCTGCCAAAAGCACCTGGGCAACAGGTGGGAGGAGAGGGTGCGTTTGTGTAAGGGTGGTGGGGGGGGGGGGGGCAACCCTGAAACATCGACACTACCTCACAGCAATGCATCAGTCTCATAAATTGCAGATCACCTTCCTGTACTCATTTCAATTCATCTTCCTTAAACAAAAAATGCCAGCACTTTTATCTTCACAACAGATTCATACGGACCATTTTGCAGTGTCAGTGAAAAGCAACTGTTACTCTTCCAGTCAAAATACAGGTTGAATGTGCGACAGACAACCTGTCCCCGTCAGCGTATTACCGGGCCGGATTTCCTTCACTTGCTGACTACACTCGAGACTCGGCTAGTCAGCAGAGATAACCAATCTGTCTAGTTGAAGGCTTACTTACATACTATGACACCATCAGCGACCGTACCGATAGAGCTTCAGGTTAACCCGATACAGACCGATCTGCACAGCAGCGTCATACCCATAAAACAGGTTGTCAGTCTTCCTAGTCACCGGATAGATTTTTAGTTGAACCCAATCTACGGCTGCTCCAGTCCGGGCATCGGCTGTCATCGGGCATCGCTTTCGGGGGGGGCGACAGGCCGAAATCCGGGCCGCCTTACGGGTCAATACGCTGAACGCTGGCCTCCTGTGCGAGCTACGGGGATGGGCTGTACCCAGGGCCGGTCAATCCTACAGGCAATATAGGCGGCCGCCTAGGGCGCCGACTTCTGAGGGGGCGCCGATTTGCCTGCCGAATTACCACGGACGGGTGGGGCGCCGGCGGTCATGCTCGCCTAGGGCGCCACATCAGCTAGGACGGGCACTGGCTTACCGAACCGAAAGACATCGGCGGCACGCAGACAGCAGGACGATCCACAAACGCAGCCCTTAGCATTAAAGGCGTCGGCGGGGTACCCATCTAAATAATCAATTCATACTATTTTATATCTTTCTTCCCGTCTCCAAATCATGATCATCATCACCATCATCATCGTTACTGTCGCTCCCGAATACAGCCGCAGAAACCGGAACAAGAACGACTCGACGGCTCGCTTTTTCCTATTATGCTCATAGGCCGGAACCCCAGGCGCAGACGCTCACCATTTTTAGTCCGACTGCTCCGGCTCCCGGCTGCGGTGGTCCAGCTCAGTATGTCGAGGCGAGCCCCCGCCGAAAAGAAGCTGTCTGCTATCCGTTATCCGCCGTGCCCCAAACCCTGCGTCTCACTAACTGCAGCTCCAATATGGCAGCGGCCACGTCTTCAACCGGAAGCGACTGCGCGAGTCAAGGGGCTGGACAGGGGCTGCACGTGCGGAAGAGGCTGGACGGGGACTGCACGTGCGGTGCCACGGTGTCCCCCAACTTTTCACTTTCTAATAAAGTACCCCGACAAGGGAAACACACCATGAACTTACTCTCATTTGCCTTAGTACCACTACTGTAATGTTATGCTATGAAATGTTTCCTGAATAGTGATTACTCTAGGGAAAACACCGAATAAGAGACATATAAAGGAAACAACCCGATGTCAAAATAAACCACGTCATCTCAGTCCAAAAATCCTATCAGCCTATGTTCTTCATGAATGTATAGCACTTCTGTCCTATGTCATCCATAATAACCAACGTGACACTTCGATATATCATGGGCAAAGTACATTCAGCTTTAAACAGACATTTTAATAATTATTCTATTCATTTTGTATTAAATGTTGCCCCTTTGTTTGGATGTAGTATTTTTATGTAGAGAAAACAAGTAGTTGTGCTATAATCTTTACTTTCACGCGTATTTCATATGTGTTACCATATTTTCATTAAACCACATATGATAAGTTCGTAGTAATTTATATTCTTTAGATGCTTTATCCGGTTGCTTGTTGTGTCTTGCTTGTGTTGTGGTTCGCTCTCAGAGTTGAAGGAAAACTGCGATTCTGTTTAGTCTACGGTCGTTTCTGCAAGGTCGCACTAACTTCCGCATTAGACTGACAATCATTGTATTTTTGTACTGCTCCTGAAACGGTATCATATATATATATTCTTGTTGTTGCGCGTGTAACTACGATTTATTGTTTTTTTACATGTTGCTAAGTTTGCTTTTACGGTCTTTTTATTTGCAAGTAAAAATTGTATACAGATTTATTCATTCATTTTCTGTACTAATACAAATAGCTTGGACACCCCCGGCACGACAGGTGGCGCTGTGCAACTATGATTAGTTTTTGCCTGATGTGACGGAAAAGTGTCTGTGATCTAGATCCATGTGCTGAGACGTACCAGGCAGTCTTTAAGTACCTAGAGGTCGTGCAAGTGGAGCTGTCTTTTATGTAGTTTTCGTCTTTTGTGCGTTTTACTTGATTTGTGTTTTTAAACTGTAGCACAGAGCAACGTGATTTCTGTGAGATAAGACTGAGAGCCTACAGTTCTCCCTGGATTTTACAGACAAACGGAGAGATGTCAACTAACCTAAGTGCACCGGTGGGTATTGTGCATTTTTTGTTGGCGAACTGCCATTAATTGGTGGTCGAGCTTTGTATAAACACTGCTCATATGCCTCAAGTTTATCATTTGTATAAGTACAAGTCGAAAGAAAATTGAGTCACAGTTGCATTCAGGTGCTGTGTTTTTGTTGGTCTATGAAACTTTTTTCAGTTCGTGTCCTGTGAATGTACAACCATGCGATATAAGAGTACAGTGAGAATATATAGTCACTTGTAAAATCCAATTGCATGAACTTTTACGGACAGTTTGACTAGTTGTATACCATCACATTTTGATGAATACCTGTAAGTTACACTAAGCATATAAGCATAGGCTAGGATTTGTGCACAGCGATCACAGACATCTTACTGGCAGGAGGCCCATTCATTCGCTGGTGAACCGTGGTGGGTGGGTCCTTAAAACACAAAGGAGTGATTGAGAAGCAGTAGGTCACACGCTGTGTTGCAATAAAGATGGTGAAAATGGAATGTAGGGTCCAATGTGAAGTCATGTCACTGTACTAATCATTTATTCATGTATTTATTTTTACAGGATGGAAATGAAAACACTAGCCGAATTATTAGGATCGGAACCAGAAAGAGCCAGGTATAGTGGCCAATGATCTGAGAAGAAATTTTTAGGAAGAAGCAAGTTAATTTTAATTCACTTCCTTTGCAAATATGCGGTTGAAATTGGCCTCTTTAAGACGTCTGATAATTTTATATTTTATTGTTCCGAATAATATTTGTAACTTCGAAAGAATATTACTTTGTATCCTTTTTTGTAAGTAATTGTCATATACAGATGTTTTGCTTACAGTGTAGCAAAAAAAATAATGCTTTGAATATTTCAGCTGGCCCGTATACAGACGGACAGCGTGGCCGAGAAACTTAAGCAGCTGTATCCAGAAGTCAACTTTGAAATAGGTGAGTGACACCCATCATTTGGAATAAACTGACGGAGGTCAAGAGCTGAGTGGTGGATGTCTAGACTGCATGTTATTACTGTTTATAAATGGTTACCACAGGGGTGTCCAACTCCGGTCCTGGAGAGCTACTAGCCAGTAGGTTTTCTATCTTACCTGGCTTCTGATGAGTCACATCTGCTCTCAGGAACAGGTGTGGGTCATCAGAAGCCAGGTAGAATAGAACACCTACTGGATAATAGCTCTCCAGTACAGGAGTTGGAGACCCCTGGGTTACCATATACTTAGTTGGGCATATTAGGAAAGTATGAACTAAATGATGTTGGGGATAATACTGGAATAAAATAATTTTTTCACGATTCATAGAATCATTTGATTCACGATTTCCTTTTCCCTTTTCATTCCAGTTGCTATGTCTACCGTAGGAGACAAGATACTGGACAAAGCCCTGTCTAAGGTATTTTTACGCTCAAAGAAAACCTGCCCTTGGCTTTTACTCCCTTGTTGCCTTGGCAGGATGTGTCTTTAAACGTGAGTAGTAAATACCATGTTCGCGTGGCCTTCATAGAGGGACAGGCCCTGGGTACTTAACATTTGTGAAATGTGTGACTTCAGTCTGTCTTTGTTGCTTTAGATTGGGGAGAAGAGCCTTTTCACAAAGGAGCTGGAGAACGCTCTGGAAAGGAAGGAGTAAGTCTAGAAATGGCACCAAATCTAGAAAACAAGGTGTCAGAGCACCCTTATCATCCCACCCACTTCGATGGGCGTTGCCTCCACAAAGCTGGCACCAATGGTCAGATTAGCATATAATTAACTGTTGGATATCTGTCATTGGAAAAGCAACGGTGACAACAGTGATATAAGACATTTCGCTCCGAAATTTATGTTGTTCAGCAGAATCTGGCTGGTTTGAATAGCTAGGAATGAATGATTCTAATGCAGAATCTTGGAAAAGCTTGGCACACACATTAAACACGTCTCTCCACGTTTAAATTCAGATTGTCGGTATTTGAATACCTTTCATACATACTCTTTATCGTTGTTTTTCTTGCACTATGACCAGCAAGATCATGATTTTATCTTTGGCTTTTCTGTTGAAACCCCAGTGTTTGGCTCCGTGTAGCAGGCAGCTTGTGCTTGGAGATGGAGTGTGAGCTGTCGGGTCATGTTACTCTTTGTGTTCTCCGCTCAGGGTGGACCTGGTGGTGCACTCTCTGAAAGATCTGCCCACCTCTTTACCACCAGGCTTCACCATCGCAGCTGTGCTCAAGTAAGTGCTTACAGTTCTGTGGTAGCAAGTTCCTTCTGTTCCACAAACTCACACCCTTCCCCTTGTCCTTTATGATTAACAGTTCACCCAAGACCTGTTTACTCAAAATTCCCTGACAGTGGAGTAACTTAGTTCACAGTCCCCCAAAAAGCCACATTCTATCATATCCAGATTTTTATGTTAATTCTTTTGTTTTGAGTCTTAAGATGTAAGTGAATTAGCGTGGAAAAGGGGTGGAAAATTTCCAGAAACTTTCCATGGGAAGTTAAGCTGGGGAATATTGAACTCTGAACGAGCAGTAAGATACAGCAAAGAAAGCAAACTGTATGAATAATACAATATAGAATATGACTTATAAGCAGTACATTTTGATACAGATGCTTATTCTGGGGTGTTTTCACACATACATAATTACTCACAAGCACTCTGTTACACAATGATATCACTATTGGTGTTGTCAAGGTGTTTTTGTTTTTTTTAAACTACATTTTGCAGATGTCATGTTTATTCCCTTTAATTTCCATATATTCCCGTTAATTCTCATGTATTCCCATTAATTCCCATGGAGATTTTCTAACTGTGAAAATTCCCAGAATTTTGCATCCATAATGTCAGTGTCCTGTTAATTTGCACAAAATACTGATCCAACTTCATTAGACTTGACAAAGGTTCTTTTGAAATGTTCTAGGTTTTAGATGATGGATATAGTACCTTTTTTTTTTTGAGAAAGAGTTTATGATTAATCATATGCTGTGCGGGCTAGACTGAAATTAAGACAGCAGTCTGGAAATAAGTTTAAAAGTACTGTAAATTGCTTTGTTTAGGCGCGAGACTCCTTATGATGCTGTGGTTCTCCATCCAAAGAACGCAGGCCTGACCCTGGATACCCTGCCGGTGGGAAGGTAAGAGAACCAGAAACCCAGACGTGTTTTGTAATTGGATTAAACAAAACAAGCTGCTTGTACAAAAGCATTGGCTCTGTAATATTACAAATGACAGAAGAAAATCTGCTTTTCTGACCGGATGGCTGGGGGGGCGGAATGGGCTGGAATAGGGTTCTTTTCTGCCCTGAATTCCTAATAGATCCTTTGTCTCACGTTGCAGTATGATCGGCACCAGCTCCCTACGCCGGGCAGCCCAGCTGAAAAGGAGGTTCTCTCACCTGGAGTTCAAGAACGTTGTATCCTTTAAACGTTCTCGGGACGTGGGCTGGGGAGAATGCGCGTGACCTCCAGCGCTGTCCTCTGTGTGAGGGACAGATGTGTCCCTGTCGTCACGGCCAACTTCATTTTTGCCTGCCTCTTTGAAGTTAAATAAAATAGGCTAGATGACGGGGGAGGGGGGAAATATCACGGAATGGTTCTTTGGGACCGGAGCCGGACCTACTGCCAGCAGCCCACAGGGGGTGCTGATGAGTCCCTCGCGAGCCAGGCTGTAGAGCTTGTCTCTGAAATGCAAAGCAGCTTGTCACAGTCAGTAGTACAATGAGTCCAGCTGACCATTCATGCCCTGCTGTAAGAAATGATTGGATAATGGCATTATTTAGCTACATAATGGCATTGTGCCCATTTAAGGCTGATTTCATTTGTATTTTATTTAATGTCCGGTTCATGAAGCTTTGTTTTAGGTAGATATATAGATATACATATGTACTTCTTACTTACCTGACTGGCTAATTAATCAGTCAATCCCCTGGAATGACAAAGGGGCAAAAAATAGTCAGTGATATACTTTTATGTCATTTTTAATTTGTGATTTTTAAGTCTTCCTGTGTGTAGACAAATACAATGTACAGAAATGCTTTATTGTACCAACATTACTGTACAGTAACGAGTGACCCCAAATGCAAAATATGTACAGACCATCCATCCATCCATCTTATGCAACCGCTTGTCCTATTCAGGGTTGCAGGGGGTCTGGAGCCTGTCCCTGAGGTTATGGGTGCAAGACGGGGAACAACCAAACTGCAGTTGTACAGACCATAATGATGCAAGATGTACAGTACAAATTGTGCAGTGAACAAAAAATAAATAGATGGATAAATGAACATTTTATGGCTGATAAGTATTTGAGGCAGCAGTTTTCTCTCGGGAACATACCAGGAACATACTGGGTTCAGGTTCTCTGTGCGCTTGCTTGCAGGATGATTTTCCTTCTTTTCTCTGGATAGCAGTTGAAAGTCAGAATTTCTTATAAACCCTTTTACTGGCTACTTCCACTGTTACAGGCACTTTCAAGCTGTGTTGGATACACCAGGAGGCCTCGAACAAACCATGAGAATTGCTGTGTGTTTGTGTGTGTGTTTCTGTCACCGTTGTCGCTTAACATCTGCCTCCCAGAGGGGGAACCTCAACACGCGTCTTAAAAAGCTGGACGAGAGTGACGAGTACTCCGCCATCATCCTGGCAGCGGCAGGCCTTCTCCGCATGGGCTGGGAGAATCGGATCAGCCAGGTATCTCGGACTTTGGAGGGGACTTCCGGCCCATTTCGCTGGTGAAATTCAAAGTGTGAAACAGCGAATGATATGGAGACTGACTCCTACTGTTTTGCAGATCCTGGATCCTGAAGATTGCATGTATGCTGTGGGCCAGGTGAGTAGTGGGGGCTGTTGATTGGCCAGCAGGGGGGGGGCGCCATGCTCTTCTTTGAAGCAATATGGCTGACTCTGAGGCTGTTGAAATGGAAACGGCGCCTGTCTGCGTTTCAGGGAGCTTTGGCGGTGGAAGCCAGGGCTGGGGACGATGACATCATGGAGATGCTGTCCGTGCTGAATGATGCGGAGACAGTGCTGTGCTGCATCGCCGAGAGGGCCTTCCTCAGGCACCTGGTATGATCTGACCTCTGAGATCGCCGCCTGTCCCTCCCACACGCACGTTCCTGTGTGTTAGAGTGCATGGTGTGTCCCACCTGCAGCCAGGGGGCGACAGCACATAAAAAGAAATAACAAACAGGCCAAGCAGTGAAACGTTCCCTCGTGCATAATATTTCATTGTTTTTACACAGTAGCATCGCTTGGGTGCTTAAAAACCCAACAGTAGGTGTTTTCACTGGCACGCAGCTGCGAGCTGTCACCTGTCACCGGGGGCCTGATGTTCTCTCCCTGCCCCCCCCCACCCTTAGGAGGGCGGCTGCAGCGTGCCGGTGGCGGTGCACTCCGAAGCAAGGGGCCCTCAGGTAATGACGCGCCACATGCTAGCGCGCCCTGCCATCTGTTGCCCGACTTGCAGGAGTGAGACATTTCTGCGCAAAATGGCTTCCCTCCTAGGCGGAAGCTCGAAGGCTTTGCAATGCAAGGTTGTGCTGCTCCTCTGAATTATTCATGCACAAGCCATATCATTCAATTTTAATAACGGTGCTTTAAAATGGATAAGGCTGTAACTCTGTATGGCCTACACCTAATAAGTACTATATTTTATTTTGGGGAAATTATTAGGTATGAATAATGCATATGACTGTCAACAATCACGGAGTTGACGGAGAACCTTTAAAATCCTTTAACGGGGTTCGGTTTAGCTGCAGCCGGGCAGGATGTAAACGCCCTGTGCTGAATTGCAAATTGGTCAGATGGAGGGTCCCTTTGGGTCCTTCATCGAGGCCTTTAACCCCTAATGGCTCCCAGGACTAGCTGACCCTGCCTTCTCGACTGTATGACGTTTTCGATAAAAGTGCCTGCTAAATAAGTAAAATGTTAAAGAACAATGGAATTGTGTTGCATTGCTCGACATTAATTGAGTCTCGCCACATGTTGAGATGGCAGCCTTTGTGAGGTTTAGGAACAGTGGCAAACACTTTCTCTCCCCTTTGACTTGCTTCTCCCCTTTGCAGCTCTCCTTAAAAGGAGCCGTCTATAGCCTTGATGGGTCCGACTGCGTGAAGGAGACCATGCAGACCAGCATTGACACATCAAAGGTGTGATCCCTTCCCCCCCCACACTCACAAAGCCATTGCATGGGTGCCTGTAAGCTATACAGTGATGAATCATGTGACAGCTGTGCCCCTTTGGTTGGTCACGCCTTGTCACCTAACGCCGGTCTCTGTGTCAGGGGGAAGACGAGGAGGCGCACAGGAATGCATCACACGTCGGGGTCATGGCCCCCGGCCTGCCGATGGCATCTCGCGATGCGGCCGAGCGCCTTGGGGTGGACCTGGCCTCGCTTCTCCTCCAAAGGGGAGCCAAGGATGTTCTCACCCTGGCCAGGAGGCTCAATGACGCACGGTAACCCAAGCGGGATGCAAAGTGGGACCGTCTGGCCGAGAGAAATCCCCGCACCAACGTCCAGATGCTGACCAGTCTCTACGGCCTGCCCGTCTCCCACAGACCTCCCCACCGCCCCCCCCCCCCGCTGGGGTTGCCAAAGATTTAAAACCCAAGGAACTGGAAGGTTCTGAACCAGGGCAGCAGCCATTTGGCTCAGCCCCGCGAAAGCTGCATGCGGAAAGGTTTATTATCTGAAATCACCACTGCTCACAAGCTAAAGACCACAAAAATGTTAAGATGTAGCTATATATATATATACACGCACACATATACATAGATACTATATCTATATATAATATTACCCACACAGATACATTATCTTATGGATTTTGAGGCATGTAGAGAGGTTTTGCTGCCTTTGTCGGTATTCTGTTACATATTGTCAGTATTTAGTGTATGAAAGCACCAGCAGAGAGAGACTGTTTACAGCAGTGGAGCTGTTACCACTTTTTACATAAGTGCCTCTTTTGGATTGGCTTGGAGTGAGAGTGATAAACAAGCCTGTATTTGGGGCACGAGGATGAATCAACTTACAACTCAAGGACACTTTTTATGAAATAAACATTTACAAAGCAGATAAAGTCAGGGGTGTCACACTCCAGTCCTGGGGGGGGGAGGAGCCCTGTGTAGCTTAGTTCTTTCCCTCTTCCACCACAAATGATTCGGCTAAAGAGCCACATAGTATTTAGCACAAGGAGTTGAATCAGGTGCATTAAATGAGGGGAATCCCACAAACGTGCAGGACTCTGACCCCCCCCAGGACTGGAATTGGAAGTGGTTCCCAACATAATGCCTATTGAGCTTAGTCAGTGCAGAGAAGGATGGCTGGATCGATCGTTCAATTCCTTTCAGGGGGATAGGAAATCAATTTCAGTTTTTTGCCTTGGTATTACTAGTTTTTTTTTTCCCCATCCCAATACCTTATGGGGAGAAAATGTCAAAGTGCCTTTCCACAACCAGCATGGAGAATGGATTTTAAACCAGCACCTACCACAGCCACCCACCTGCCTTAACCAAAAATGTAGTAAATTATGTTAAAGACAAAAACTGAGCCACTTTGTTGGTAAAGGCTGTTTGTTTCATGTATGTATATATAAGAGCCTTCCAACCATGCACTGTTTTTGTTTGGTTCCATTACTGGCTCAGTTGATTTAAGACACAAAAGGCTTTATGAACAATTGTTTGAAATAAGTGTGCAGGTGGTGGAACAGTGCAAAAGTGCTGAATGGCTGGAAGAGCGAACTGGTAACAGGTGTTAAGTGCATTTGTATACAGCCCAGAATCTTAACTGCAATAAATTTCTCACGTATGGGAGAAAGTGTCGCTATTTTCCTTTAGAATTGTGTTTGGAGACATGTGGCATTCTTATTCAGACTATTCCGTGCTTGACGGTTGACAGGTGTAAGCGCACGGCCTGTTTTTGTATGCTGAAGGCCATGTGCCGTTTTCTTGCGGCATTTAGTAGGAAACACCTGCACTGAGAGCTCCATGATGCGATGATTCTATTTCCGCATATGACCAAACTATAACCGCCCCCCCTGCCCAGAACACAAAGTGGCTCTCCTTTACAGGCTTACCCACCCAAAAGAGGGCTTAACCTGGAAGGCTCCAATGAAAAAAAAGCCAGGCATCCATTATATGGGTTACTATGAAACCCCACAGAGGGGAAAAAAAAACATCCAGTTAAGCAATATAACGGCTACGGCCAGAATTTAGCTCAAGTCCCTCAAGTGGCATCACTATGGTACCCACCGAGAAAGCCTAAAATACCCCGCTTTAAAAATAGGGAGCGCCTTCGGCTAAGCTCCACTAAGCAGCGTAACCTTCACGGCTCCCGCATACACGTGGATGGTCCCAGAGCGGAAATCGGGCAGCGAATGGCATGGACGACGGTCGCCCCCGGGACTTGGGCCAGTCCATGCACATGCGCAGCGAGCCAAGACGACCTCATTGAGGCCTTCGGCTTTTTAGAAAAGAAAAAAAAAAAAAAAAAAGGCTGAGGCAGGCTCACGGCACAATTAAACTTGGGTGCAACATAATGTTAGGAGATTCCTTTAAGAACATAAGCCTATACAAACTGCAGGATAAACCGAAACCCGATCATCAATAAACACACGTGCATCATGTTGCTTTGTTCACTACCATCCCAGGATCACACCAGATCAGCAAAGCCACACAATATGATGTTGAGATACTTTATTACAGACTGAAATACAAAGGCTTCGATCCACGAAACTCGCTCTTTAGAGGAAGATCTGGGTGGCCCTTAAAAGGGCCTTTGGGTTTAAGTTCAGGAGGGCGTCAGCTCAGTACTCCTGAGATTGCTGAGAAGCCTTCTTTCCCGCCTTGCCAGTAGCAGGGACGGCTTGTCCCGTCTTCTTTGGCAACAACACAGCCTGGATGTTCGGCAGGACACCACCCTGAGCGATTGTCACGCCACCGAGCAGCTTGTTAAGCTCCTCGTCGTTCCGGACCGCCAGCTGCAAGTGGCGGGGGATGATGCGGGTCTTCTTGTTGTCCCTGGCGGCGTTGCCGGCCAACTCTAGGATCTCAGCGGTGAGGTACTCGAGGACGGCAGCCAAGTAGACAGGGGCCCCAGCACCAACTCGCTCGGCGTAGTTACCTTTCCTCAGCAAACGATGAACACGGCCGACGGGAAACTGCAGTCCAGCTCTTGAGCTACGTGTCTTTGCCTTGGCGCGGGCCTTTCCTCCGGTTTTGCCTCTTCCAGACATGTTGGTCAAAAGAAAAATATGTGATTTCTAGCAAATCAACAGTGAATGTTCTTAGGAAGTAGAACTGATTCTGTTCTTCAGGTACTGCAGTTTATATGCTTACTCCAGCAATTAAACCCGCCCTCAAATTCTATTGGACAAAGGCTAAGGAGCAACATGTGATTTGTTCAAAATATTAAGGGCCCGTCTTCTTCCAACTACCATTGGCTAAAATGGGCTCATACGTAGTAACACTGAACTCGCCAGCCAATCAGAGTTATCCGCAATGGAATGCGGACATCTTGGGTGCGTCCGAAACGCTGTGCCGTAAATGGAGAATTTCGCTGTCTATCAAATTCGAACCGTAGGCTTTTCGCCAGTTAGAATTTCTCCCTCGAAAATTTAAAACCCAAAACTTTGGGCGCAAATTCAGTATCGCTGCTACAAAGCATCGATGTAAAAAAAAACGTGGTACTGACATGATTTATGTTTGGATAATCTGATTAGTTATCATGAGGATGTTGGCCGCTTTTAGTTTACTTTGTTCTTCGTACGGATATTTAAACTGTGTGGTTCTATATGCCGTATTGTAAGCATGCAGTTAAACCAACAGACTTATCCCTATTTTTTATTCTTAGCGTTATTTCAGAAATATTTTCCATTCGTTACGCCATTAATTCTACGATTTACTAATGTCCTTCACTCGAAAATGACCAAAGATGACTTCGCCAATGAAACCATATAATTATATAACGCCGTCTCGACATCCACTGCAACATAAACATATGAAATGCTTTGTCATGACGCCAAAGAGAAATTAGCGCCAAGAGGTGCAATTCGTGAAATGTTTTTAATGGTAGTGTTTCACAGTGGTCTGTTGTAGTGGTTCCCGAGATAGTGGTTGCGAGATGAATTCCAGAATATGTGAATAATTTAAAAAAACTTTTCAAATATCCTCGTAGGACCTACAACAAACAAGTGTTTTTAAAAGATTTTTTTCTTGGCCATTTTTCTTGGTATCTTACCGTGCATTTTGCCGATCAATAAGGAATACGTAACAAATCCTTCGTGATTTGTATAAAGACCAACTATATCCGAAATTTAAATAATTCATAACATTTTAATTTTAATATATGTTAAATCGACTAGATAAATATAAAGACTAGAGACAATACATGTTGACATTTATTTTGCCACTTATTTGTTCATTTTCCGGACTGAGATATAGCTTCCGAAAATATGAGCGCACGTGCTGTGTTGCGAGGTTCCTGAATCATTGATGATCAGGATATAATCTTGTTCATAAATAAAATGGTCTGGGATAATGAAAGTCTTGTTTTTACCTTAATGCAATTCCGAAAGTAGTTATTCTAATCACAGAAAATGAATTATTACGATTACAGGGTTTCCAACTTTGTTCAGCTGGCTGAAGTGAAATTTTCAATTCGAGACAAATCTGCACACACATTTACATGAATGTAGCAGTTTCATGACCTTGTAAATAGTCTGTAGCGTTTGCAAACTACCCCGACGCTTTTGATGTAGCTATAATTTTAGGTTTATAATGGAATACTATAGATTCCCCTTGAGATGTCTTGCGTGAGTCTGGAAGCTTAAATTTCACGCCAGATACGTCAGTTGGCAACCCTGCAATTAAATCTGAAATATCACAAACCACAAATATGTATTTATTACTACTGAAACGTTTTAATTAGTTACAATTGTTCTAGAACTGCAGTGAATTGAATCTTTTAAGTGAACTGAATTATCTCTATCTACTGATCCGTTCGTTTAATGATTGATCGTACATTTCGTTCAAAGACTGCAAAGAACATGATTTGGATCTACCCACTTATACTAATAGACTTTCTCGGCGGTCACGTACATTAAAATAAATACATATCGCGACTAAACGTACGTGGAGAATCATCTCTGAGTGGTCGTCTCCAAAACTAAACCCAGGCTAGACTTGTGCTCCAAGCACAGTGCCCCCCCCCCCTCTTTCCGGCATCGCATTTGGTAACTGTAAGTTATTTGATTGCTAGATCCATATATCATGGTTTATTTATGTTTGGTAATTTATTGTGTTCTTTTTGGGTTATCAAAACTACGTGGTCATGCATGACTAGGCCTATTAATGCGCATGCGCGCCAATCAGGTTGGGGGGGGGATGTCGCGAGTCTCTGCCAGTTATTTTGGGGGTCGTTAACTAAAAAGTTTGGGAACCCATAATCTAATTTAGTAGCCTACTTCCTTTTACCTCGGTATCTATTGTCTTCGCGTAATGGTTTTGCATTGGATTTGAAAGATAGCCATCCACTTATTTTCCATTATAGTTACCGTTTAGGTTTCACATAGTTTGTCGTATAAATCCCTACATTTCTAAAACATGCTCTTTGAAATGGTAATAGTAGTTTAATGACCACTCAACATAGCTTCCGATAGCTAAACACGAGAAAACGCCCAAGTTATCTCTTCTGTTACCTTTACTTTTCTATGCAGAAGATACTGAATATACTTTGAATATGTTTAGGGAAAGTCAACAGTTTTCTGAAATAATTTATTTCGAATAAATAAACAGGTGAAATCGTCACAATGATATAAAGCAGACTTCAAACATCTGAAAAGACCACAGTCGTATTTTTAAATAATTATAGCAATAATAGATTAACATTTGTATTTCGTAAAATCGATTCCCTAAAACATCCAGGCTACGTACTACACTATTGAGGAAAGTGTCTCACAGCAGCACAATGAATAAGGAAACCCATAATCTCCAGCCAATCACGTTCTCGCGTCGTTTCCCAGCAACAGTCAGGCAAGGCTCCATCATGCAAGTCCAGCTCATTCTGACCAGCAAATTATTTTTATCATCAATTTTAACCTGTCGGCCCTAAAAAGTTAGAAGATGGATGGGTCAATGGATTTTAATGTGTGGATACATGCCTGGCACTACTGCATCCATGTAATCACGCTCTCCTTTTGGTTATATGAATGTCACCAGAAGGTCAGAATTGAGTCATCTATGATGACAAAACAGTCCATCTGGTCAATATTAGGTCAAAAATGGTTTTGTAAAGTGAAATCCTTTGTCCCATTCACATGACCATTAGTCACTGCTGGGATTTGGGATAGGCAATTTGCAAAGTTTCCAAATTATTATTTTTTTTTAGCTACAAATTGTTGCCATCATAATTGTTTATACATATACACACACCTTGTGACAGGCCAGGAAAAAATGAAGCAAAACTGTACATTAGACAGAAAAATCTTTTTTTGAAAAGATTTAAACATCTCCCTCTTTTATGAATTGACCCCATAGTTTCCAATATAAATACAGTTGACCACTTCTATATACAAATAATAATTCAAGCTCTTTTTTTTTTTTTTTTTTTTTTTACTTTTTTGTAATAATTTGAGCATGAATGGAGCGAAGCCGAGTTTGTTTTAAAGAAACCTTATTAAACCCTACAAAACTACCCGCAAGGTCAAAGGGATTGTCCTGCATCTACTGTAGTAATTATAAACTTTAAAGGAAGCAATCTGACCAAGTAGTGGTGCCAATTCGCCTCTTCTGAGTGTGATTCTATTCAGAATAATTGCTGTAGTTGTTTAATTTAAGCTCCAGTTGGAGCTCACACCTTATACAATAATTGCAAATAATGACGCATTTTGTCTGCAATTTCAAAAAGCTTCTCGCCCGATTTCTTTAGCTAAAAAATTAGTTTCTGTACAATGAAATGTGTATACAGTGTTCATGATTGCGATAGGAAAATGTGACTGCGCTCTTAAACGTTATATGAATCTTAACAACCATTACTTTTAAGAAATAAGTAGCAAATGACCAGGAAATACCTGCAATGCCACTTTGTTGTCTGAAAAGTTCGTTATCTGTCATTGTTTTTATAGCTGCTTAAGGTTTGACAGACACAGGTCTATGCATAAAGAAAAGCAAATCCCATATTTTCAAACAGACTCGGTGTCTATTTGAAGACCAATTTAGTGTATATCACTAAACAAAAGATATACAATAAATAATTACATTAACAAAACAGGTTTTCCAGTGTTGTAAACAATCAGTAACATTTCAAAAGTGCAAACCTTAAAAAAAAAAAAAAAGACAAATGACAACCAGCCACTTTGCTGCCCCCTACTGTTAAATGGCTCAAATAGCTATGTATCTTTCCCTTTGTTCCTTATTCACACATGGCTAACTTTGCAAGCCTTTGGATCATATAAGCAGCAGGCTCTGTCATATATATATATATATATATATATATATATATATATATATATATATATATATATATATATATATATATATAAAAAACACACACAATTTTTTTTTAACAAGCATATTTCCAAAATTTTTTGGAAAGTTCAACACAAGGTCCTGCACAGGAAAGAGGAGTGGCCTTCTGGTCTACTTTAAAGGCAAGACCCTGGGATGTGGGTAGAACTGTGTAGGAAGAACAGCCAGACACTGCACTGATCTGTGACAAAGCAGGGTCGCCTTTCGTCAAGGACAATCCAGTCAGAGCCAGAGAACGAGGAGTAATTGACTTCTGTCCTTCCGAAGCGATGCGGGACATCCTTTCTCTGTGCTGATGCCAGAGCTGCCGGCCGCAGCGCATGAGGGAGCTTCCCCCTGCCTCTTTGCCGTTCCACTTCTCCATCTCTCCTACCCACCGACTGTAGCGAAGCTGAAGGCACCTCATGTTTTGACACTTCTGAATGGCACATGATCTTGCTGAGAAAGAGCCCGTTTCCATCAGCAGCAGGACAGCCGGAGGTATCGCCGTGCCGCTGGGCCAGAGCCAATGGTTTCCCTTCTGATAGCCGGACTATAGGTGTTCGGAGCGGCACCTTTACAGCACTGCGGGGCAGCTCGTCGGATCACCTAGGTTATGAGACCTCCCCCTCCCCCCACACCCCCCCCCCCCCCAATCTTACGGTAAGGACTCTTCAGTTTTCTGAGGTACTCGCATCTCCGTTGGCGCTGGCTTTGCCCTTCGACTTGGACCGGAAGGAGAAGCGCTTGATGAGGCGCCGGGAGAAGCTGCCCGACTTCTTGCGCACCGTGCCGCCATTGCCCAGGTTGGAGATGTCCTCGTGCGATTGGCTGAGGCCGGGGTCCTTCTGCCGATGCCGCCGCCGGAACAGGAGCTTGGTGCCGCTGCGCAGGAAGCCCACTGCGAGGAAGAGAAAACGACCATCAGTGGGTCTGTAGCCGCCTCGGGGGCCGATGCTCGGCGCTAACCGGCCCGGCTCGGGCACCTTTGTGGTCTTTGAGGCTGCGGGTCTCCAGGGCCCCCGTGGAGCCAGTCTCGGACTCCACGTCATCCACGGAGGGCCGCTCGGATACGTCCGAGGGCGTGGTCTCGTCTGTGTCCTGCTGCGTGGGGCCGTGGCTGCCGGCATTCTGGTGATGGTTCACAGAGCCGGGAGAGTGCTCCCCCTGCAGGGCAGCATCCATGGCTGCTGCGTAGCCCACAGACAGGGCCGACTCATCCTCCCCGAGGGGGACCTGCAGAGCAGCAGACCATTGACCCAGGAAAGACAGAGACACTATTCACTATTGGCTGTCTAACGATCCAATCCCAGTGAGCCATCCTGCCTTGTTGAATAGTGCATTACAGGACTGCGTCACTATTACAGATGAAAATCAGAATTGATTATTAATGGAATTCATAATAAAAACAAATAAGATTCATTTGTTCATTTATTTATGCTTCTTTACACCAGTAGGGGGCGAAATCCATCCATTTTCCAAATCGCTTATCCTTCTGGGTCGGGTGGGGGGGGGTCTGGAGCCTATCCCGGAAGCTACGGGCACAAGGCGGGGAACGACCCAGGATGGGGGGCCAGCCCATCGCAGGGCATACTCACACATGCTCACCTATGGGCAATTTAGTAACTAATTAGCCACAGCACGTATTTGGACTGCGGGGGGAAACTGCACACACATTTTGCTGTTCACTGATCTCATTCGTAGCAGGTAACTCAAACTGAACAATGAATCACTCTAACAAACTGGATGAATTAGTGTAGCGACCAAGATAGTTTCACTTGCTTAGAAACACTTAAACGGTGAGAAACAATGGTCTAGTTACTATGCAGGTTCAACATTGACCTCCAGTGACAGGGAATTGGGGCGATTAGTAATATTACAGTACGAAGTGGTGCAGTGTGGACTTCAAGGCCTGTGTGCTGGTATATTCCTGGGGCCCCATTTTCTTTGGGATGTCATGCATGATGTCTGTGCTGTTAGTTATTAAGAATGAAAGTGTCATTAGCAGTAACTCTATCCCTGTAGAGAGTTTAATAATCACATTACTCTGTATTTACTGCTCAGGTTTCCCCACTGGGTATTGCAGAGGGAGAGGAGAGGCTTTCTAGAATCCGGCGGCAACTGAACTGGCTACGAGGGAGATGGCTATGACATCACGGCGACGGTGACCTTTGACACGCCAGATATGATGAGCGTGCTCCTCTTGGTGGGCGTCTTCTTCACCGGCTTGCCGGCGGACTCCGTCAGCTGCCGAATGGCCGCCTCGGCCACGGGGTCCAGGCCGTTGGAGAGGTGACTGTCGGCTGTCGATCAGAAACACACACACGTGCACGTCTTAGTCCACCCGCCAAAATCACTGCACCCTGTTCTGCTCGAGCTGGCGTGGACAGCGGGTGTTTTCAACCCCATTTTTGAGATGTGACCCCCCCCCCCCAAGGGCTAACTATTCTGCAGGTTCAAATTCCATTAAAAGGTCCTGCTGTTGTACCTAAAGCTTATTCAGCTTATTTATTTACTTAGTAGATGCTTTTATCTAAAGCTACGTAAACATTTTTGAGAAAGCAATTGGGGGTAAAGATCTCTGCTCGGACACCCAACAGTGACATCACTCAGCTGACCCTGGGATTTGAACCAGCAACCATCTGGGAACAAGCACAGTAATCTGATCAACTAAGCCACACACAGCCTACAGCTTATCCATTTAAGTTGCTTTAATACCAACCATGTAAGTAACTAAAACTGCAAAATTGTCTTTAATCAATAAAATGGGTGAATTAAAAAATCTGTACTAAGCTACAAGGTAAATGAGTAACGAGTATGATTTATGGGGATCGTTTCTGGACTTACTACTGGTGGTGGGGCTAATGGTGTCCTGGTAACCCTCTGGAAGGGTGCTGGGCTTTTTCTCTGTCACTTCCACCTTGGAGGGGGAGCGAGACGGGGATTCCCCTGGGGAGGAAGGAGAGATGAATGAAAGTGGGGCGACAGCCCACTCGGCCTGGATCACACTTAGAGTAAGTGGTGTCGAATTACTCCCACCCGGATCTCCAGCCATTCCGCATGCCGATTCTCTTCAATAATACACTTTCATTAAATGACTGATTGCTCCACATTGTTGCTGATCACTTAAAATTAGTTATACCACAGCGCTGTTGAATTCTCGAATATGATTGGTCAGAAGGGCATTAATTTTCTATAAGCACACGTCATGAAATGTGGTCACAATACTGAATCAATGTGCCATTATAATCCTCAAGTCTAACTAACATTACTTAAAATTCCACACTTATAACATGATTCAAAATTAATGAAAATCGTGAAACGAATTAGCAGAAGTAGTTTTACTAATAAATGCATTTTTGGCTTGTAAACATGATAATAATGTATTTATTGTAATGTATTTGTAGATACAAATATATAGGCGGTGGCTCTTGGACTCTGTAGTGGTGTGTCTAAGCATGTATAATGCACAGCTTACATACAATTAGGGTCCAGAAGGGATTGAGAAGTACCACATGAAAACTCCGTGATGAGGTCTCACCTAGCTTGCGGTCCAGCTTGGGTCGAGACTGAATGGTGGTGACCGTGGTGACAATGGTGCCGTCTGGCATGACGGTGCGGTCCATCTCCACCTTTTTGGTGGGGGTCACTGAGGGCCGTGGCGGCATGGAGATGACCCCTCCCCGGGAGTCAGCCTGCTCCTGGAACAGCAGCTGTTGCCGGGGGGGGGGACAGCACAGTCACCCTGGGACGTTGGCTATTGCAGCCTATTACCAGCCACGATTCATGCAGAGGGATTCGACCATAACATTAGCCAATGATACGTTTTGAATCGGCGAGTGACAGGGGAGGGGATACTTCAGGGGCCAATCAGCTTTCAGCTGCGGCCAGTGCCCCTGTGCCGCCCCCATATACACCCCTGTCCGGCTATTTTCACGATTAATCAGGACTAATTGGACTTCTAAAGGATTTGCATTTCAGCTTGCTGCTCTGGTAATGAACAGAACAGATAGCTGGAGCTTAAAAGGCTATTTATGGTGGAAAGATGGAGTAAATCAGATATATATAGGCCAGAAGACATTTTTAGCCATTATACCCTGTCATCAATGACATGAGATTTTATATCACTTGCATAATTTCCAGAGTAATACTGTGGAAGTACTGCACATTTTTTTTTTATCACTTTATGACAGTGTCTTCGAATATAACAAAAATATATAACACATACATATTCAGAATATAACAAAATTTTGCGGCTGGTCATAGAGAGGATGCAGGGACAGGTCGTCTCACTTTTGTGAGCAGTGAGGCTTCCTGTGTTTGCATGATGCAGCACAAACGGCAAAAGTGTGGTCTTCAGAAGCCTGGTTTCCACCCACCTCGAAGGAGACCGTGCCAGTGGGTAACAGCCCGTGTTCTGAGCTGACTGACAGCATGTGTCGACCAATGAGATTCCTTTGGGACGGGTCCAGCGATAAGGAGGCGTGGCCAGGAAGAAACTCTACCATATTAAAAAGAATTAAGAAAATGATATTAATTTCAGAAATCTAACATAAAGGACTTAGCAAGTACCTGTTTTCTCCTCAGATCGGGGCTGGATGTTAAGCTGAGGCAAGTAAGTTAGACGAAGGGTGACTACAAAAACCTGAATATGAGCCTGCAGACTCTTAAAAAAAAAAAAAAAAAAAAAATTTGCATGTTGGACTACATTCTTTACTGGACTAGTCTGGTAGTAAAAATTCCTAAGTTCCACTCCTGCCCTAGATGCACAAAAACAGCAGATAATTCTCAAGATATGTGAATGCATGGCATGTATAGGTGTGTATACACGCACGCACACACACACACACACACACACAGCCATACTGACACACACGGATAAACAGTGTTTTTGGTGCACACTTCCTGTCTACTACATTTACATTTCATTTATTTAGCAGATATTTTAATCCAAAGCGACGTACATTGTTGTTTTCTCTTTTTTTTGAGAGAGAGTAGGGTAACTGGAGCAACTATGGTTTAAGAGCCCAACTGTTAAATCATTCATTTGGTATTTGAACCGGTAACCTTCTGATCACAATACAACGCCCCCCTACGACAAGCCTTATCTTACGTTCCCCTTTGCCGCTGCGCTCCACCAGTCGGACTCTCAGCTCCTTAGTTTCAGGGCCCGGGTCCCTGAAAAACCCAAAATAAACCAGCGGTCAGTGGATCTAGTTTCTGTGTACAGCCTTACAAAATGTTGGGAACTCGCGGTACCCTACAGTGTGACGTCCTCGGTCCAGTCCAGTCCTGCCAAGAGGCTGGAGGGGTATGGCAGGTAGCGGGTCCTCTTCTCCAGGGCCGGCGGGTGCAGGTCCAGGGCGCAGCAGAGTTCGGCACCGCTGACCTGGCTTACTGCGGGTACAGCAGCGATGGCCATTAACAATTAATCACTGCTCCTGGAGGGGGGGGGGGGATGTGAGCGGCTCAGTCCTCACCTCTTCGCACACTGGTCACTCTGAGCTGCCGGACCACCAGCCGTCGCCCAGGGGACCCCCGAGGCGGCGAGGAAGGACCCCGGATCAGTTTCTCCCCTGAGACCTGAAGAGTTGGAATTCAATTCATCTAATCTTTAGAAGGAATTGCACCTTCCCAACACTGTAGGATGGGGTGCTTTCTGGAAAGATACATTTCCCCACAGTCCCTGAGGAGCCCAAGACGGTCTACATTTATGCTTCAACCAGCCCCCAGCACACCTGCACCAGGTATTCGGTGTTGCTAACTGGCAGCGAGCTGGGAGGGAGCAAAATTCTGCGGGCGTGGGGGGTCCCTGAGGACTAGGTTGAGAATCAGTGAATTAGCACAATCCAGATGGGGCATGTTACCCCCCCCCCACAACCATCACTCACAGGCGAGCTGGACACGCAGGTTTTCAGGTTGACGGTCATGGCAGGCTGGGTGCTGAACAGCGTGTCCTCCACCAGGTCCCTGATCATGCTCACGTCAGGCTCATTGTCATTCCCCTGTAGGGGCCAGAGGAGAGGAGAGCCTCAGCATAGCTTTGGTGAACCAGGCTGCCATCCCCCACACACTGGCTAGGGGGCAACAGAGAGCCAAAAACAGACTGACAGCAAGCCAACTGTAAAATCAGATGTGACAGAAGCCCTTGCAGCACTGGTTTCAGCCCTGACCTCTCTCTGGATCTTGCGAGGGGACACAGTTAAGGAGAGCAGGGGCCGCCGGGAGAAATGCCAGGACACCAGCAGTCCCTCCTCCTCCACCTCCTCCAGACAAACCTCCATCTGTGAAACAGCATGGCCGTACCTTCCATTACCGTGATGTTTTATTTCATAAAAACCAACACATTCTCTCCACGAGCCGCTTTCGGTTCTCGTTGTCTGGGTTGCGTTGCAATGAACGCCACCAGATGCAAACTCAACAATGCAAATTCCGTTCATTTGTATTACCTGGACCTGCATCGGCGCTATAGTGATCTGATACGTATCCATGGAAACGGCTGCAGGTGACTGCTGGGTGACGGTAACTGGGAACGTTACCGTGTCGACCGAACAATTACACTGCAAAACCTGGAGGTGGGTGGGAATCGGGGAAGCAGGGATTTCAGTACGATAGATATAGTGCATAAAGCCCCCTGTCTCATATCTGTCTTGTGGAGAATGGGCCCTTTCAAATCAGCCCCCTCTAACACGGCTGGGCATCTTACCGCCGGTACTCACCATGCTGCGAGCTGATTGGTCAGTGCAGGTCACGTGACTGATCGACGCAGAGGTAGCGAGTGGCAGGCTGTCATTGAAAGTGATCTGTATTGAGCTCTGCGAAGGCGACAGAACAGCGGTCAGAGGGGATCCTTCCAGCAGAGAACAGAGAACGCTTTTATGTCATTTTACCTAAGGTCATCATCAATGAATTTCTGCCTTGTGCTGATGAGAGTCTTCTTGCTTTTAAACGAAAGCAGGACGTTTTTTTTCCCAGCCCTGTTAATTGCTCATGTTCTGTTACGACCATGACGTGTTCAAACAAGGAATTCGTACAGATTCCTTGGAGCAGGAACTGAGAAACAGGGTTTACGGCTGTCGAATCCGTTCCGGTGGACAGACAGCTCTGTCTCCACAGGCCAGTCCAAACCGGTTCAGTCTCTCAGCTGCGAGGCGTGCATTTTATCCCCCCATCTCTGCTTTCATAGCAACTGGGCACCTTTACATCTGCTGAATACCGTGCCTTCATGCACTGAAGCCAAAGCTGTAACACATGAGGAAGTAAATCTCCCCATGTTACCCTAGTACACAACACGGCCGCACTCTGAGACCTTGGCACGTTTCAAACGCATCTATTCTGACCAGCCGCTGGAAGATGCTACAGGGGAGCCTCCTGAATGTTTGGAAGTGCCCGTGCCAGAACGACATCAGCAGCACTTCACGTGATTCGCTGAAGCGATCAATACCTTGCTCACAGCCAGTCCACTGAATCAAAATCTTATTTCCCTCAATTCTACTCATGTGTTTGACCGCTGGCTAAAATATTAATAATTATATCCATCTATTCATCTTCCAAGAATTGGTCAGGGTGGTGGGGAGCAGCGAGGAGCCTTTTTTGCTATGGGACCAGATACCAGACCATCCCAGGGCACCCAGTCACACACATAACTACACACTACAGGCAACACAGAGACGCCAGTTAACCTAAGTGCATGTCTTTCAACTGTGGAGGGAAACCAGAGTACCTGGACACCCACGTGACATGGGGAGAACATGCAGACTCCCCACGTACAGAGCTGGGGCAGGATGCAGAGCCCCCACCCTGGAGGCAGAGCCCCCACCCTGGAGGCAGAGCCCCCACCCTGGAGGCGTGAGGCAACATTGCAGCCCCCTGAGCACCATGCCAACCCTAATAATTATGTTTCATAATCAGCTACATACTATAATGATGAGATACTGTTGGGTGTGATGTGTAAGGAAGGGATGTGGGAGTTGTTTGTGCTTCCCTTGGACTATGTATCACTGCAGGTCAGTCCTGTGGGGGGGGGGGGGACCTTCGCATGGGATCCAATTCAAAAGATGACACGTTTCATTTGTCAGAGGCCCAGAAACCCTCCCCCATTCTTCTTTCATCCTGCTGAGCAAACTCAAACAGGCAATTAGACAGCCCAGAAATATCTCCCTGCTTTCTCTAACCCCCCCCCAGCGAAACACTTCTTCAGCATCCCCAGAGTTAGTGCGGGTGCTCCGAAATGAATGCCCCTCACCCCCCACCCTTCAGAGGATGCATTAGATGGCACAGATGCATCCGTGGTGCTCGCAGAAGCCCACAGACCCAGAGCCACGTGCCTGGGCCGACCGCAGCCTGTCAGCAAACGTGCAGCGGTGCCCTCTTCCTGTCCCATGTGATTGCGAGCGGCAGGGCGTTAGAACCACAGTCAATGTGACCTGTCGCTTTTACGGCACCAGAGAGAAATCACAGTGCCTCTCTAACAACCGACTAGGCCCCATGCTGATCTTTATCTGGGATACCTCCTCCAGGTATCTGTAAGAGGTACTGTATAAGCTTGGGGGAATAAGAAGGGATATCCTTCATACTGAGGGGATCACCTTATTACCAGCCAATGATATGTTTTGAATCGATAAGAGACAGGGGAGGGAGCACTCCTGGGGCCAATCAGCTTTCAGCTGGGCCCAGTACCCCTGTGACCCCGCCTCTGTATACGCCCCATAATTAGAGACCAGCCAAGATGTTAACCACCAGTCAGTTCTCTCACACATTGTCACGTCAGGACTCCCGGTGGACAGTCCTACCATAGTATTTCTGGTTATATAGGTATAGAGAGGCTGAAGGCAAACAGAATGAGGCAAACAATGGCCAACAAAGCTAGCCAATAGGACGGGCCTACTCCCCTCCACCAATGTGTTTTGCACGGAAGCAGCACAAACCCACCACTTTGTTTACTCAGCAGGCAGAGCCAGTGACCTAAGCGGCCGAAGGTCTTTCTCCGTCTCCCTGTCAGCGTCAAGCTGCGATGCATCCATCACGAACCACGTCGATCACCGTGACGAGCATTTGAGGAAACCGCCGGCTACGCTTCAGTCATTTAACGTCGATATCTCCATGGAGATAGAGTGGGATGAGCAAGAGCATCCGGAACGTCTTTAGGAATCAGAGCGATTCGGGAGAGCTGGGGCTGGGGGGGGGGGGATGGGGGGGTAATTAAGAACTCCAATGATGTTGCATCAAGTAATTTACAGAGCTACTTACACTATGCATAATTTGTATGGATCACAAAAAAATGATTTCACACCACCCCAAAAATGTAACGATAGATTCGACCCAACTGACATGACTGCTCTTACCCAGCCATGGGCTTACCACTTCCCCCACCCCCGTTACTGCCTGCCAAGCATAAGTGGAATGCAAACGATACCCCAAACGGTTACCCCCCCTGCAGAGGCACCCCGGCGGCACCCAGCATTAGCGGCAGCTGGATAATTGTTTGTCAGGAGTCCTTACACTCTTAATGTTTATGTCACAATTTGGTGAGGGGTATTCTTCACAAACGAACATCTGTATAGAGGCACTGGATTTGGGAAGGGTGGCAAAAAATATAAATGTTTGCTGCTGAAGAAACACTTTCTGCCAGGACCCGCTGCTAAGGCAAACAAAACTGACCATATATGGTCTAGGTTGTTTTGTTTATATATTTGTTTGACCTGCTCACACCTCTTTTCAAGTGCTCTGCCAACCACTGACATAACACGCTTGGAGAACAGTACTACATGCTACACCAACACCAACCGCTTGCTTCCACCCCTGCATTCTCTAGCCACCACCTCCAGAAGGCTAACAAAAACCTGTTAGAGCTATTGACACTCCATTCTTGTGTTTACCGATCATATTGTTAACCATGACCTGTGACATACGCTATGTTGACGAAAGAAAAACTGACAATTTGCGTGTGAGACCAACTGGAACATATTGCAGTGGGAGGAGTGTACAAATGAATGCTTCTGGCATGGAGGTGGACTGGGGGATGGTGGGTGAACAGACAAAAAAGACGAGTGATGTTACCATGAACAACACGACCAAAACATTTACACCGGCTCACCTTGAGCCTGCACGCATGAGTCCTCCTCTCCATTCAAACCCAGCGTGCGTCATGGCCGAATGCTAACGCTCTCCTTGAGCAGACAGCCTGCGGGAGTCCCTAACAGTACCCGCAAGGCCTTTTTTGTTTGGAATCACAGTCTTGCAAACGAACGTGAAACCTGGCGAGCGCCCGAGGCAAGCCCGTAATTAGAGTGCAGAGATGGCCGCGGTCGGGTCCGGCGGTAACCGGAACAGGTCCGGTTCACTGAACAGTTCTGTCCCCACGGCTCAGCGAGGTGAGCCGGTGAGCTGTAAGCGGTGAGCATTTTCATGGACCTGCCTTCGTAATGCAACACAAGCTTTAATTATTTTATATAATCCTGGCTTGCGTGAGTAAGCAAGGGCATCAGATCACGCCGGAAATGTGTGCCGAGGACGTCCGCATTCCGCCATCGCCACACGCGTCCCAGCTGTGCGGCTACATCTCTGCCGAATCCTGAGATCACACGGCTGGAGAGTCTCTCAAGGGGTGCGAGCGGATCACAGCCCGGCCTGGGGAGGCGCACAGCTGTGGCAATGTTACACGCGCCCCACCCCCACCTCCGAACATCTCAGCAGCTTACCGACGGGGCGGCAAATGACACAGAAGATAATAACAGCAATTAAGGGCTTCAGCCAATCCCGTCACTGCGGAAACAGCGAGGGCGTCACACACGCTTCTGTGGGAACATAGTTGCGGAGGCAGTGAGGATCACATGACCCGGTTTTCTCATGACTTGAGGGCAGGCGTGATATTGCAGGGTGCTGGCATCTTCCGAAAAGTAAGGCCTATCGGACACCGCAACCGAAAATGCCTCTGAATGCATCGCATTTATTGCATCCAGAAAAGCGCATGGGTCGGTGCAGGATGCCGCTGGCACCTATGCAGACCATAAATCCACAGTGGCCTCATATATGCTTCCGTTTCCCTCTAAGCCCCAACAAGAGGACTCCGCTGAATCAATTAACACAAAACCCACTTTTTGGAGAATATTTTGAAGAGGGAGACTATTTCACACTGCGCAGTGGACATGGTAAGGGAAACCAGGGACAACTGTTGAAATCTGTTTCATTTTCATTTTACTAAAATGTTAAAATGGCATGTTTTCCATCTGCGTAAAGTTGCACCAGTTTGCTAAATATCAGTGGTGTCAGGGGGAATCTAAGTTAAGTAGGAAGATGACCGTAAGCCTTCCAACAACTGACCCCGTTTAATAATTGTCCCTGCTCTCCCCTACACCGTGTGACACATCCAGACAGTGATTTTGGGCTCCAAGTTGGTTAAAAACAAAAGCTGCTCACCTGCCTAGGGTGTACATCTGATGACACTGAAGCAGCGTCAGGTTGCCTGGAAACGCCACTGGTTCGTCCACTTAACCAACAGTGACAGCGCAAAGAGGAATTCCGAACATCTGACATTTATTTGTTATTCCAGCTTTATGGTTCAAGAAGGAAAAAGAACAGATCTTTGTTAAATTATTGTGAGGACTGTATTAACTGGACAAAGTATTTTCCAACTAATGTTTTGTTAAAAAAACGATCCTTGAGTTAATAAATAATTTTCATATCACACAAGACAATGTGGGTAGGCCAACTGGTATCTGTAATTGCCCAAGTGTATGACTGTGTGCATTGGTGCCTTGTGACAGACTACCATTACATCCAGAGTGGTCATGCCCTTTATGCCCTATTCCCAGGGTTGAAGTTGGGATCTAAAGTCATTGTTGGTGCCCAAACAACAGCATCAAATGCTGCTGCAATGACCAGAAAGAAACTGCCCATCCCCATAACTTGGGACCTTGGTCTAGAGTCCAAATTAGCCCATGCATAAGTCCAGCCTTGCCTACTCTGCCTCCCCCATGACCCTGTCCTGAATAGGTGGTTGTATGGATGGATGTATGGATGGATGTATGGATAGATGACTGCAGCACAAATACAGCATGGCTCAGGGGAATAAGGGGAACCCCACCCACCCGACAAGAAGCCACGACTGGAAACTAAAGTATAATTCAGGCCAAACGCCAAAGGCCGATTTAGAAAAAGCCCCAAAAAGCAGAGGGCAGTGGACGTGAGCATTTAATAATACCATCACATGGTGCAGTCAATCTGCTGTTTCATCCCTCCCCCCCCACCACCAAAGACAGCCTCACGTGACGCCTGAAATCAACAGACAAAACTATTTTTATTTTAAGTCATCAGCGCTTCCAAGAACCAGCTCTGTAACTTGGTTTAACAACCAGTTTTTTCTCTGTTTGTATAAGATGTAAAAATACAAGGAGGCCAGAATCCTCACAAGGGCAGGAATGTGATGAATTACTACACAAACTGACGAGGTGGATTTGCATCCCGTACAAACAGCTGAATAATTCTTCCACCGCGTCTCCTGTGTAACTTCACCTGGTGCAGGTGATCTGTTTGTTTCAGAACAGCAACCAGCTATGGCTTAATACGACACGCGTAACCGCGGATACGTCGGTGCGGGGGGAATTTGACGGAGGCAGACGGCTCCGTTGCCGGGGTGTTTGTTTTCACGGCGACGCAGGCGCACGCCGGGAGGGGAACGATTCAAAAGGGGGCAGATCGGCTTTTGTTTGTCAAGCAGCATTCCAAGACCGGATCTTCAAGTCGGACCGATTCCACGGAAAGGCGTCAGAGAACTCGGCGGAGGGCCTCCCAGGTCGCCACGCACCCTGCTGGTTCAAGCATCACCCGTTACCGAGGTTACGGCGGCATTCCATTGCGCGGCATCCCTCACATGATCATCCCGGAATGAAGCCAGAAATCCTGTAGCATCAAATGTGCTTTTGCGTTGCTGCCCTTCCTGATGCAAGCAGATTCGAGATGCAGGTTACATAAGACTTTTGTCAAGCCCTTGACTACCTGAACCAATCCCTCGAGAAGCTGGATTAACGTAAAATTGGAAGGAAAGACATAGATGGAAATACTGTGTTGGGCAAGTCCATTAGCACTTTCAGCATAAGGTCCTCCTATTATTTTTGTAATGTATACATATTAGTCATATAAAGAATGTGCATCTCGCCCAGCTATAAAACAACATCGTCACCAATACAGGCCGGCCCAGCAGTCCAATGGTCTTTTACCATGACTTCATTGGTATGCAGGGCCCTCTGGATCTGGGGGGGGGGTCACACACCCCCAGCCTTTGGCCCCCTTTCTGTGCAATGAGACAAGCTGTTGGTTTGCAAACAGCAGGGAAGCAGGCAGTGGAGGTGCTTCAGTTGTACCCTCGAGTGATGTAAAAATATCCACCAGTAAATGGGTCATTTGGGGGGGGGGGGCTATACTAGTCTCCTCAGTGCTAATGTCTGACAAGCATCTAAGAAAATATCAAAAACTGAAAACAAGCCTCAAGTAAAACTGAGGAATGGAGGATTAAGGACTATGCCAATCTAGAAGAGCTTCATTTATCTGGGGCCGGGGACGCGCGTGAAATGGAGAGCCAAGGTCTTTAAACTATCCATCGTTCATAACAGAAACGCAGAGGCATGCAGGACAGTGCGGGTCCAGGGTTCAGCGCTTTATTTTCTAACCACCGGGAATAATTAGGCTCCGCTTTTATACGCACAGATCAAATGCATAGTTACGATACGCTTAAAAAAAGCCACCGCCAGTGTAAAAATGAAAGGCCAAGAGGTTGGTACAGCAGTGCTATTATCTGCGGGTCCGATTAAGCGCACGATCCTGAGTTACAAAACAGGTCCTTACGGTAGGGGGGCCGAACGGCGCGCTTTAACGGCGTGGGAGAGAGGGGGATCATCCTGTCAACAAGCACTAAATCTGATCCACGGCATCTAGAATAAAGTGCTTTAGCCTTTTCTTATCTTTGCGACGTTATAAACTGACTTCCCTTAAAGTATTCGCCGGGTAGTGGTTCAGAAATTAGGAGCGTCTGTTATGAGCACGAGGCACGCCGGCGCCCCCACCACCAGCCGGACTAATGAGATATTTACGTGCGCTCCCACCGTCTTGCCCATCCTTTCGGCTCCGGCTCTCTGCAGTCGGGCATCTCGGCCCAAATTGCCGACCAAGCAGCGAACCAAACTTGCATCCCCATGCAAAGCATGTCAGCCTACGTAATGCAATATATCGTTACCATTAAACTCGTGACGGGTTATTTTCTCCGTTTTGCATGCAGGCATAACCAAATTACCAAAGATGCAAATCAAAATATCAAATAAACCAGCACCTAGGCATTGCTTGCACTGTGATTTCTGTCAAATAAGCCTAACTTTATGCGAATATTATAATGTGTAGGCCTAATTAATCACCATTCCATTAATGTCTATATAATGCTGACCGTTTTTGAAAGGAGAATTTTGATGTTTCCCTTATAACAGGGTTTAGGTCAGTGTATTAAAATCGAGCATACCGGGTTTATAAGATTCTTTATGCAATCGCCTACGTTACTGTATTCAGCAGATGCACACGGACACCCTTGTGAGACAAATGTTGAGATCAGCAGCGGTCAGCATTGGGGAATCAGACTCACCCCGTGTCTGCAGGCTTGCTCGTTAAGTGCCCGCACCCAAGCGCGCTGCCAGTTTTCCCGGAACGTCCTGAAAGAGAACAACGACGACAGCAAGCCCTTCTCGGCCGCTCCGGAGTCTCCTCCACCCACATCCTGTCCGAAGCGCAGCTTCTGCAGCGATCCCCAAATGCCCCCGACCTTGATCTGGTCCCACGACGGGCTCTCCCGAAGCTTCTGGCCGGCAGGTTTCGAACTCCGGGCGCGCAGTACGGTCCGTGAATACTGGATCAGCCAAGTAATCACGATCAGCAGGGAAGTGAGGAACAGAGTCACTAGAATCATCCAACTAATATCTTGTAGAAGCATTACTGCCGGAGGATTTCATATATTCCAACGAAGTACTCTGCTGTGGGGAAAAGGAGAAAGCTGATTATTTGAATGTCAGAAACTTTACCGTGGCGTTTGCATACTACCCTGTACGTATCATACCCTATATAACGTGTATGTAGCCTATAAATGGGCCAAACAAGCAGCCATTCAAGCATTTTCTATTTCCCGAGAAAAGAATGTAGGCCTACAATATTTTATTCAGCTATATAGTCCCACCATTAAAATTAGCAAGACACTTGACATTTTAAGTCAGCTCGGAATAGTTGCGGACTTTCCCGGTTTATCTCCAGTCATTCGAGGCAACACAGCGCTGTACTCACAAACTAACGCCGCGTGGTCACCTAAACACGATATCGGCTTCATAATTAAATTCCAATTAAACCAATTTTGATCTCATTTTCTCCGTATGTCCTTGGCCATTTAATTAGCGGAGCGAAAAACTCCCCCGATTATAGTGCAGGACCGACGTGCCGGAGATACGGAGGTTCCGGTCTCGCATTATTTGGTTTTGTATCGCTGTCGTTTAACGCGCTGCCACCGTGGCCGAATCAACATCTAATCGCGTTAAACAAATCCTCCATTTCTGCGTCTTGTTTTGGCGACTAAGTAAAGGTGGCGGGTCAATTACGCCGGAGTAACATCCACTTTCAAAGATCGCTTGCCCGCATTAAAATCCCTTCGATGCCAATCGCAAACGATATCATCGTCTGTGTTTAACAGCATTGCAGCCCATATAGAGAGGGCTAGAAAGGAATTATTACCGTTTTATTTCCTTCCGAAATAGCAGGTATCTTGCTACCATTAATCCAGTGGTAGCGCTGTGAAATCGTGGTAGTTAACACGACTGGCTAGCGTTCACGCAACATTGTTTTGTAATCACGCCAGCTGGCTACATTGTGTCAGTAATCATGTTAAACGTTATTTTCTAATTTCCGCTTCTATCCTGAGTCATCGCCGGCGTGTATCCATCCTGCCGCCGCTCATTTATTTAGCGGCGATTGCAATGATCACGGTTTGTGTTCGTTTCTCTTATCCTTCACCGAGCACTTCAATCGCCAATGCCCGTCCCTGTCAGCGGCGGTCCCGGAATAGCGACTGAACTCCTCCTTCCAGCAGCAGTAACAGCAGCAGCAGCGCCATAGTCCGTAATGCGCAACAACAGACGGGCTGTCAAATCGCAGCGAGAACAGCGTGCATGCAGCGCTCCCAGTTAAAGGGACAGGGCGCCTTATACCGTTGCATGTAAGAGCACACTTATGTCACAGCGTTTAAATTAAGATATCAACTGATCTGGAGTGAAATTAAATGACTTTAAATAACAGTGCATGTCGAATGCCTCTATACACACGTTGTAGTTCTGGGACATTATTCGCTTATTCTTTGTTAATAAAAGTAGTGGATATAATAGATTGCCTGTCACCTGTGTGGCTTGATCCGACTTGCGTTAGCTTTGATAGGCTACACCAACTTTACAACCACCGTCAAAGTGGAAAATCATTTTGAACGTTGACATTAGTGTTTTCACTTTCGATGTGTAGTTGTATAGAAAATACACAGTCTATGTATGCGTTGTATGTGCGTCAAGTTTTCATGCATTGTATTATGAAATCTATATTTCATATCAAATAGGTAACGGCTCATGAAAGTTGTTTATTATTATTAGGGCCTGTTGTTGTTAGTCTTTAGCATTACAAAATATATGTCTGTTAACTTTTAAAATGCATTTATTTCATGCCATTCAACCGCTACGAAAAAAGAAAAAAATGCTACAGTACAAAACTATGTACTCGATGTTGTTCTGAGTATCGTTAAGGATTAATTTATTTATACATTAGATATAGACACCTCATATAACCAACCAAAAACGAAAACTAAAGCGATTTATATTTATATAAAAATTTCTGCATTTGGTTAACATTATAATTTGGATGTCAACTGACCTACCGAAGTATGTTAATTAATTTAATGCACTAATGTCAATGGGACCTATTAGAAACCTGCTACGTAGTTAAGGGAACAAAATATCAGACGTACCGCGTGCCTCAAATGATTCTTCCAAATGCATGTTTTTTATTGGGCAATACTTATGTCAGTTATACTCATCAGGTCTTTCATTGGTTAGTCACTTGAGGATCGCGTTGTATTGGTTTATTTCTAAGAGTGCGGGAGACCAAGCAGGAAATGCTGTGGATAGTGTTGTTGATTTGGTTTGTTATTAGCTAGCTAAGTTAAGGTTTTCAGAACAGTTGTTTGACAGGTATTAGTTTTATATTTGATTATAACAAAGTCTGGGAATCAGTACATTTTATTATGGGTTGTTTTGGAATACCTACCACGCTGAAAGAGTGTTCAGTCACATGAGCATTCATCATCATGCGTTAGGTGCAGTTTGCTGGCCACTTTGCCAGAAAAATGTTTACTCGCAGAAACACATCTCAGTAGTAAATTGCTACGTGGCTTCTGTAAGCGCGGTATTTATAAGAGAGTAGCTTTTTAAATGTATAGTGTAATCGCTTTCATGTTAGTCGGAGACTCACCTTACGCTGTGGGGGCTGAATGCCACAGTAATATTTCGTTAACTTAGCCTAGTTTGTTTTCGGGCAGAACCGAGCGATGGCGCCGAGCAAACGGCAGCGGCGGGAGAATGTGTCGGTGGAGCTGGCGTGCGAATGGGGGTCCTGTCAGGAGTCCTTCAAAAGGATGCAGGACTTCTGCGAGCACGTGGAACAGCATCTCAAGGCGCTGCAGCTGGAAGACGAGGAACCCGACGCCCTAGGTTAGTGCCTGAATTACCGCTAAAAACATTTTTTTTCCTCGTTTAAGACAAACTCAGGGTTGCATTCATGCTTAAACACTCCGGCAAGAAATCTACGGCAAATTTATGTTATTCTATCATATACTTAAAATTGGGTACATCAAAAGCTTTGGGGTAGTTTGCAAACCCTACAGACTGTTTACAAGGTAATTTAACTGTTTGAACACATATAAACATATGAATACGTGTGCAGACTTGAATGGAAAAGCTCAGTTGTGTACTCAGAACTGGTTTTTTTTTTTAATAGCTGATGTGTGCAGAATGTCACTGAATAGTCGTAAAACGCACAAATCACGTTGTTTCTTTTCGGTTTTTGAGAGTGGAATTGTAGTATTCACATGCACAGGGTTTTTTTTTCTTTCATTTCATGGAAATCTGCCCTTTTCTGATAAATGGTGAAATTGCGCATCTTTGGAGTGGTGAGGTAGTTCTCTTGTTTGTTCTTGCAGCAGAAGAGCAGAGCTGCCTATGGCGTGAATGTGGCTTCTGTGCAGTAGAGTGCCCCGGGGAGCTTCTGCGCCATGTCTACTTCCACTGTTACCACACCAAGTTGAAGCAGTGGGGACAGGCGGTCTTGGAAAGCCATCCTGATCTAGGATCCTGCGCCCTGGGCCTGCAGAATCGCAATATTGTGCCCGACATCTCGGACAACTTCCTGTGCCAGTGGGAGCACTGCGAGGTGAGTGGGACGGCCTGGAATGCCAACGTACCTCAGTTTATCCAGTGTAATTCCTGAGTTTGGTTGTCTTAGTAAATATCGGTGCCCTGTGTGATGCCGGAGGTCTGATCTGGGTGCCCAGTTCTCACTGTGTACTTGTGGCTCAGACCTTGCTGGAGAACCCTGAGTGGTTTTACCGACACGTGGAAATGCATGGACTCTGCACGGAGATGACGTCCGACGGCAAGGAAGAGAGCGTGCTGCACTGCGGCTGGAAGGGTGAGGACGGCCGCCGAGAGCCGTGGGGATCGGTAGGATTGCGGAGGCTGTCCCAAAAGTTTAAGAAGGGATCTGTATGTTCACGCCTGTGCTGCAGACTGTGAGGCTACCTTCAGGGGCCGGTTCAAACTGCGGGAGCACCTGCGCAGTCACACGCAGGAGAAGGTGGTGGCATGCCCCACATGCGGGGGCATGTTCGCCAACAACACGAAGTTCTTCGACCATATTCGCCGGCAGACCGCCATTGAGGGTGAGGCGTGGCGTCCAGGCCGCCTTGTCATAAGCATTTTTTTGTTTAGGGTTGCCAAGGGGTGGAAAATTTCTAGAAACTTTCCATGGGAAGTAGGGTTGCAAAGGAGCAGAAAATTTCTGGAAACTTTCCATCCTAAGTTAAGTATGGGAATTTTGGAAATATTGAACTCTGTGGAACTCCACACAAGCTGTCAGATACGGCAAAGAAAGTAATCTGTATGAGTAATACAATATAGAATATGACTTACAAGCAGTGCATTTTGATGCAGATGCTTATTTTGGGGTGTTTTTATGCACACATAATTACAAGCACTTGGTTACACAGTAATATCACTATTATTGTTGTCAAGGTGTTTTTTTTCCGTTATAGGCTGCCCTGCAGTTTTGCAAATTTCCAGTTTATTCCCATTAATTCCTGCATATTCCTGTTAATTCCCATGGAAAGTTCCCAGTATTTTGCACCCCCTTTTTTTATGGGGGGAGGGGTCGGGGTCGGAGATACGAGCCCGGGAGTCATGTATCTGGGTGTTGGGTCTGCTTGCCTTCCAGGTCAGAGGTTCCAGTGTTCACATTGCTCCAAACGTTTCGCCACTGAGAGGCTGCTGAGGGACCACATGAGGAACCATGGTCAGTGCTGACCTCAGGCTCGGGGGGGTCCTGCTCTCTGTATCGTGGCCATGATGGCATCAGAAACAGAACTAGAGGGCAAGACATGTGAGGGTTTGCTGCTTTGTGTTTCCTATTGGCATTTGATTGGTGGTATGGAAACAATGGTCATATACATATGGGCCAAGGAGTCCCCTCTCTGTAGGCTGGTATACGTCATAGACCCAAATTTTTGTTATTAATTTGATTGCTAGGCAAATAGACGGGGAAATAATAATGCAGCCGCTATAGGTGTTTGTGGAAGTTTGTGGAAGGTGAGGAAAAAAAAGTGCCTTTACAGGCGCGTGTCCTGTAGGCTTGGGTGCCTGTCCGGACATTATAAGACGGTATACGGTATTTTGCCAGTATTCTCAGAAACAATGCTGTCCCGGTGTTTTGAAATCCTAGCAATTTGTCTGACTTGTTTGCTGAGATTTCAAATTATAACCAAAATGCCAAGACATTCACAAAATTACTAATAGCCCTAGTGTCCTGCTTAATTAGTACCTCTGTTTATTTTTAGCTTAGACTGGGGGGGGGGCTGTCTGACCGGTCTTGCTGGAGCACATCTAATCCGGATGTGCATCTACCAGGCCACGTGGTTTTTGTGCCCTCTTCCGATGCCACAAGTATGGAGGGTGGGGGGGGGGTAGTTTCTGTGCTTTCAAACTCAGCTGTGGTTGTACTAAATCATGCACTCTGCATAATCACACAGCACTCGTGCAGACTCCGGCCAGTCACCAGCGTGTGCGAAATGGCAGTGGGCGCTCTGATTGGCTGCCCCCCTCCCCCTTTCTTTCCCCCCTCTGCTATAGTGAACCACTACAAGTGCCCTCTGTGCGACATGACGTGCCCATCACCCTCCTCACTGCGAAATCATGTGAAGTTCCGCCACAGCAACGAGAAGCCTTACAGCTGCGAGTACTGCGAGTACAGGTAGGGGCTCCGGCCTCGTGACCCCTGACCTTGGACCCCAGATCGAGGCTTTGGCCCAGGTAGCCGCTAAGAACTCATGGTCCGTGACCCTGATCCCATATCTTTCCCGATGCTGCCCCCCAGTTGTAAGAACCTGATTGACCTGCGCAAACACCTGGACACGCACAGCAGTGAGCCCGCCTACCACTGTGACTTTGCTGACTGCAACTACGCCACCCGCTCCCTGCACTCAATCAAGTCCCACTACAAGAAAGTGCACGAGGTGAGGGTGTGAGGTGCAGTTACTGGTATGCACCCCCAGGGGGGGTCGACACGACTGTATGACATCCTGATTTCTCTTCAGGGTGACTTCGTCCCACGCTACAAGTGCCACGTGTGCGAGCAGTGCTTCACCCGGGGGAACAACCTCACCTCACACCTCCGCAAGAAGCACCAGTTCAAGTGGCCCTCGGGTCACCCCCGTTTCAGGTGAGTTTGTCAGGCCGGGACCAGCTAAAGGCATAAGAAACTTGGCGGCTACTTAGATCCCAGCGGCCACCAGGGGGCCCCATATCTGATCTTCCTCTCCATTCTGAGAGGCTGATGACAAATGACTACTAATTGAATCACATTTTTCTTAGGGCCCCGAAAACAGTTGGGGTTGGCCCTGTATCAGGCCTTGGCTCCACTCCCCCAAACCACGGTTTGGTTTTGAGCTGTGTGGATGTGCATAGCTTGACAGAGCTGTGGTAAAATTTGCAACTATGGAATTCCATACTTGGAATATAGCCAGAAATGGGAACTATTTTCTTATGCCAGGGACTTTTCTTGAAAGACAGGAAAATCCTGTAGCTCAAGTGGGGCACTGTATTAATAATGCAGTGGTTGTGGGTTCCAGTCCCAGGCACCACACGTAACTTGTAATTAGGGTGTCTGGAGGGAACTATGAGCTGCATCAGGTTTTACAAACTACTTTAAAGGCTCCCACGTTTGGCTAAATTGTTTGGTTCGTCTTGTGCTTTGACTGGTCTGTTTCCTTGATTATAAGACTCGTCCAGCTGTTTCACATTAACTGTAGTGGCACATGCATGATTATAGGAGACTGACCAATCGGCACACAGCAACAACTCGATGCTTAAGTGAAATCCAGGTCCTTTTATTTGAAATGGTTAAGATGATAGTTTACAAACCCTGTCGTAACTCGGTGTCCTTCCTGATGTGGATTAGGTCACTCTACTTGTAGTAGGGTAGTCTTTACATCCTTGCATCTCAGCCGCCGCATCCCCCCTGCCCCCCCCGCCCCCACGTTGCACCGCAGGTACAAGGAGCATGAAGATGGCTTCATGAGGCTGCAGCTGATCCGTTACGAGAGCGTGGAGCTGACCGAGCAGCTGATGAAGGAGCGGCAGGAGGCACGGGACGGGGACTCTGACGGCCTGGCGGGCGTTGGGGAGCTGAAGGGCATCGTGCTGGACGATGGGGAGGCTGGGGTGGCCGTGGGCGGGGAGTCGGGCCCAGGCCCGGGCACAGATGCGCATTCTGAAGGCTGTGTCGACGGGCAGGCTGACGCCGTGTACTACATCCTGAGTGGTGGAGGCAATGGTGCTCTCCAGCAAGACCCAGGCCTCCAGGGGGCGCCGGAGAGCAGCGAGGACAGCGTAATGCTGCAGCTCCAGAACACGGCTCAGCAGCTGGGCATGGAGGTGGTGTAGACGCCCACATGTGACTCTCCTGGACACACCTCCCGCGTGGCCGCTAAGTGGCACAGGGCTGCACCTGAAATACCTGAATTTAAACAACTTTTAGTTTAAAAATAGTCCCTGCTGATCACTACGACTCCAAATCGTGGTTTTAGGGAACGGTTGAGGCCCCACTGATTGGTTCATCGTTCCCATGGACTTCCATCTCTGTGAAATGTATTGGTCCGGTGCTGTTGCCGTGGTCGCCATGGTCACGCTCAAAAACAAATGAAACATCTGTTTTGACCTCTGACACAATCCCAGGGGTGCGACCGATTCAATTGTCAATAAAAAGAATTCTGTTTTCAACATGATAATATACTGACCTCTAGTGGTGATTCTTATTTTTAAATGGGGGTGTATTGGCCTCAGGCCAAACTCTCATTTCTGCAAATTATGACTAACAAGTAGACATGTCCGGTATATCAGAGTAACTTAAAAATAAGATTTTCATGCTTTACAAGTCTGTCGGAAATTACATTTTTTTGTTTCGTGCATGAGCAAAGTGCTGTCTGATGCAGCCTGCTTCTACCCCCCTCTATGGTCAGCTTGTCTTTTTTCTTCTGTATATGTGTCAGCTGTTGGGTTTCACCACTTTTAGGATGACAGGACAGGAAAAGCCTTTCATTGCATAATGAAGCCCTAAGATTGCACACACTCTGAGTGAGCAGGTTGCCATGTAATGGACTTATATGCACCAGACAGTGTCATGGTTTGAGTTTGCACTACATAGTAAAGAACAATCTACAGGTTCTTCTACCTTTATATGCAGTTCATTTGCTGTCCTCTAGGGGTCCCTCTTCCGCGTGTTCAGCTCCATAAGCATGTATTTTTAATCAGCCGTTAAAGATTGGCCATGGTTAGTGGTTGGCTTAGTGCAAGCAGTCCGACTGCCGTCTCACCTTTGTGCTGCATTGTCTGAGGCCTTCTGTCCAGCCCTGATACAGTTTGAGGCATCGGAAGGCCTTGGGATTTGATGCTGCTGCATCTTGGGTCCTCTTCTGGGGTGTCAATACAGATGCCTGATCAGGACACTGATGTGATAATGTGCAAACACAACATATAAAGTGTTGCTTGTCCCCTGAGACCCTTTGTCACAATCTTATTTTGTGTCATCTTGTGCTGGATTTATGGTGGAACCAGTTAGGGATTACACAAGAATGTATTGAAGCAGTTCTCATGGACCCTCAGAGAGTCCACATTTTCACTCGCTCCCAGCTGAACCAAACAATGAAGAACACCAAATTCCTGGTACAGATGTGCTGGGATCTGGGAGGGTGCAAAATGTGGACTGGGTTGAGAAACGCTACATTTGAGGACTGCTGGTGTAGCAATAAATCCCTCTGTAATGCAAAGACATTAATTCAAGTGATCATGTTTCATTCCCCCGCTTACTCTTCCTACTGTTTGTTACTCGCATGTTCTGTCGAGTAAAACCACTCCCAAGATCCTTCAGTGATGTTGCAGTTCAAGCCTTCAGTAGCAGTAATAACTTTTGGATCTTTAAATCTTCTCAGTGCAAGTCAGAAGGGCAGAAGTAGAGTCAGAAATGTTCAGTACCCAACCCCCCCATCAGCTGCTCCTGGGTGGGGTACCGGTCTTTCTGTAGGTGGGGTGGGGTAGGATGGACATTCATCCGTAAGTGCTTGTACAGTTAACTTTTTATTTTTATTTTACTTTTTCTTTTTTTCTTTTGCTTTTTAAAATATTTTGTCACATTTCCTATATGTGCCAGTCACCATAGAAACCGAGGACCAGTCATGGTTAAAAGTTCACCGCCCCGCCCTGGCTGTTTGGAGTGGCTGGGGGGAGGGGGGGGGTGTCCAGAGCTTCCCCAAGGGTGAGAATTAACGAGTTTGTTTGCTGCAGACAAACAATTAGCCAGCCAATTAGCTTGGTATTTATGGAAGCTGCAGAAAAAAAGACCACCCACCATAGTAAGATCAGTTATATCCAGATCTGTTCTATTTCAACATCTTCCCCATCCCCTGCTGCTGATCCAAAAGAGCTTTTGGTGTGGCGGATAACCTTGATGCTTCCGTGACTCTAGGTCCGGTGCTCCCAAGCTCCCCCTGCTGTCCACCCAGCAGAGAAATGACTGCTACTCTGACCACTCTGATTTATAGCAGTGTTTCTGAATCCGGTCCTCAGGGACTCATAGTTGCTCCATGTTTTTGCTCCATCCGAGCTCCCTGCCATATAGTCCACATTTTTGCTCCCTACTGGGAGGAAGCAAAAACATGAACTGTCTGCGGGTCCCAGAGGACCGGATTGGAAAATGCTGATTTATAGCTTTGTGATCTTGCATTCAAGTGATGTCCTGGCTGTCAAAAATATGACTGATGTAGTAATATGTGTTGGTGAAATTGTTCCTGACCATGGACTTCGAGGGCTAACTGTTCAAATTTTCAGACACACCTTTCTCTCCCTTATGAAGGATGATATGGTTGTCATGGGGGAATTTTACGTGTATTTTGTCACCCAGTGCCTCTCCTCAGTCACAGAAGTGGGGGGGCTCTGTGCTTTCGAGTCCTATTACTGTGTAGGGAAAGGTGAAATGAGGAGGTAGGGGGTGTGTAGGCCGTGTGTCTGTGAAAGTGGTAGGGAGTTAGGGTGCCCCCCCTTTTTCCTGTTTGAAGTTTGGGTTTTTCTCCTGCACCTGTTATTTACATCCCCGTAGATCATCCCGGTCAACTTTATGGTTGTAAGAACCTGATTGACCTGCGCAAACACCTGGACACGCACAGCAGTGAGCCCGCCTACCACTGTGCCACTCGAAGCGAGGGTCAAAGAGCCCTGTTTCCTACCATCCTTAGAGACATTATTCCTGTGCTGTTAAGGTCGGCACCGACCTGTTTTTAAGTTTAAAAATGCATAAGACAATCCTGGTCAAGACAATCTCCTGAACTCCAAACTGAATGTCAGAATGGGAAAGAAAGGTGATTTAAGCAATTTTGAGCGTGGCATGGTTGTTTGTGCCAGACGGGCCGGTCTGAGTATTTCACAATCTGCTCAGTTACTGGGATTTTCACGCACAACCATTTCTAGGGTTTACAAAGAATGGTGTGCAAAGGGAAAAACATCCAGTATGCGGCAGTCCTGTGGGCGAAAATGCCTTGTTGATGCTAGAGGTCAGAGGAGAATGGGCCGACTGATTCAAGCTGATAGAAGAGCAACTTTGACTGAAATAACCACTCGTTACAACCGAGGTATGCAGCAAAGCATTTGTGATCCACAACACGCACAACCTTGAGGCGGATAGGCTACAACAGCAGAAGACCCCACCGGGTACCACTCATCTCCACTACAAATAGGAAAAAGAGGCTACAATTTGCACTAGCTCACCAAAAATTGGATAGTTGAAGATTGGAAAAATGTTGCCTGGTCTGATGAGTCTCGATTTCTGTTGAGACATTCAAATGGTAGAGTCAGAATTTGGCGTAAACAGAATGAGAACATGGATCCATCATGCCTTGTTACAGCTGTGCAGGCTGGTGGTGGTGGTGTAATGGTGTGGGGGATGTTTTCTTGGCGCACTTTAGGCCCCTTAGTGCCAATTGGGCATCGTTTAAATGCCACGGCCTACCTGAGCATTGTTTCTGACCATGTCCATCCCTTTATGACCACCATGTACCCATCCTCTGATGGCTACTTCCAGCAGGATAATGCACCATGTCACAAAGCTCAAATTGTTTCAAATTGGTTTCTTGAACATGACAATGAGTTCACTGTACTAAAATGGCCCCCACAGTCACCAGATCTCAACCCAATAGAGCATCTTTGGGATGTGGTGGAACGGGAGCTTCGTGCCCTGGATGTGCATCCCACAATATATAATTAAATTAAATAAATAATTAAAATAATAAATAGATAGATAATTTTAAAAATAATAATAAAAATGAATACATAATTAAAATAATAATAATAAATAAATAAATAAATAAATAAAATAATAATTAAAAAAAACACCCCGCAATAAACGCCCTCTTGCAACAACACCACGCCCCAACCCCGCCCCCCCAGTGAACTATTCACCCCGTAACCTTTTGACCTTTAGGTCATAAATCTTTTTGAAAGAAGCGGTATGCCTCCTCTCTCTAAACTGGCTTGCTGACAGGTGAGATGTAGGTCTCCATGGGCGACGTGATGGATATGGATGCTGCCCTGAATGCAGCACAAAGGACTTAGACTTGATGGATATGGATGCTGCCCTGAATGCAGCACAAAGGACTTAGACTTGATGTAGACGTCGCTGATGATCCTAGCTGCACAGTGACATCACAGAGAATGGAAGGCTTGGCAGGAATGACAAGAAGCCGGCTCCCTGGAAGGTTCAGAGGGAGGTGATGTCATCACTGTGTTAGTGGTAGAAGCCATGTGACCAGGTCATGTGACCTAGAGAGGTCATGTCCATTTTGTTTCCAGTGCCGTCAGTCTGGAGTTCAAGGCATGAAACATCGACTTCAGTCCGATAAATTACACTCACAGGGTTGTACATCTGCGTGTTGCATTCTCCATGAAATCTGTAATTAATAGAATCGGTGCATGCAGTCAGCGTGACTGATTGGAGAACAGCTGTTTTTGGGTCTCACTGATCACACTCTTGCTACTCTGGTTTGTGTGCTTGTGAAAAGACAGAAGCTGCACAATTATGTGGACATTAATTTTTGGGATGTAACACCTGACTTGTATAGGAGAGCTACTATCAGGTATGAGGGCAAACACCCTAATGTTGCTGCCATAGAGAAAGAGGAGAATATGAGAGAGTGGAAGGCTCTGGGGGCAGTTGTGAGACCCCCGTTCCTTTAAGGTCCAAAGCAGTGGATATTTACAGTTATTTAATGAATAGAATTAAGAATTACTGAAAAGTTCTTAAATGAGGCTGTCTTGAGAACGGCAGAGGATCACACTGTGATCTAGTCATGCTCCTTGCTCCTCACCCCTACTGAGCCTTGTTTACTTTCAGAAGAGTTAGAAGTTATAATCAACGGCTGCCAGCACCTTGGGTTGGGGTCGGGCACTTCCCAGATTACGGTGCCTGGCCCTGCATTTTCATAGCTAGGGGGAATCTGTAGGCAAACTGGCCTTTTGAAGACACTAAGATTACATTTAAATTAGGCTTAGAGATGGATGGATGGATAGTTTGAAATTGTTTGAAATGCAATTACGTTACATATCATGCTCTGATTATTTTTTGTTTTAATTGCAAACTTGAGAGGACAATTATCACATCCTATAGAGCTAAATATGCTAAATGTAAGGTAGATAGACCTTCTGCCTCCAAGTCTCCCTTCTGCTGATATCATGATGCTACATTTT